GCCTCTCGCTCGCGCGTTCTCTCGCGGTTCGCTTTGCTTGCCACTCAAAATGGAAAGCTACGTCCGCGAGGAATTAGTTTCCATTCGCTTTTGCCCACGCACGAATACTCGTTTTAAGTTTATTTGAACATACTGCTGCCTATTTTTGACAATTATTTACAGGAGGTCTCAGTGAAATTAGCGTCCAAGCTGGCGGAAGACTCCAAGGGTTCAGAATTTGAAGGAATGGGCAAAGGCGTTCTTGATTTCGCTACACGTCACAAGGTACAGTTAATAGTCTTCATTTTATTTGCTCCTTCTTCCTTTCTTCTTTGGGAGGCGAGGAAAGGGACTTTGCCCGTGGCTCTTCCCCGAAAAAAAAACGCCTGATCGTAGGTTATAACAGGCGTAGCGTCATTTAGCCAATTACGAAGCGGATCAGTCATAGATGTCTTTTTTAAAGAGAAATGCTAAACTGCGACCTCATTCTCATTACACTTTCCTCTCAGAGAATTAAGTTGAACTTAAGATACATTATATTACCTTTTTTTTGCAAACGGTTTAGCCTTGGCGCGGCTTCGATGATTAGGTAGAAATAGGGAGCTTTACCATCACGACGGTGACGACAAGGACAATCTCAAAAAAGAAAAAAAAACAACTGTTTTTATGAGCAAAACAACAGCTCTGCACGTGCTCGCTTTTTAGTAGATTTCCTTGACGTCCATGGAACGACTACAACGTGAAACCAGGAGGACGTGAACATAGGACGACGAATTTTCCTTTCTCTTTTTTAAACGGAATAAATTCCTCAAGAATTCAACTCCAGGAGAAATCGCCTATATTTGACAAATTAGGGAGCTTAAGCTACGACGACGGCGAAAACGGCAAAAAAGCGAGCGATTTTGATCGGCAAAACAGCAACTCTGCACGTGCATCACGCTTTTTTGTACATTTCTTTGCCGTCACTGCACGACTACGACATAAAAACGCCTAATTTCACGTTTTGTGGAGGACGTGAGCACAAGGCAACGACTTTTCCCTAACAATGGTACAGTTTTAAGAATTCAACTCCAGAAAAAAATTGCCAACATTTGACGAATTGAACGAGGTGGAATAAGCGCGATTAGGTTTGAGGCAGCGCGACTTCACTATGTAAGTGACGTTTTCGTAGCCGTCGCCGTCGCCGTCGTTGTTGCTTAAGCTCCCTTTTCCGGGGAACAGCCTGTGCTGTATACATTTCTTGGCACGGTTTTCGTGTTTTTAAGCAAAACTGAATCTTACTCTGTGTGTGTTAACAGACTGATTATTCAATAATATGGTAGATGTTTATTGTTACAGGAGGTCATTGACAAGTTTGGAAGATATCCACAAAGGAACAAATCGTTAGGAAGGGAAAATACCCCAGAAGAAGAGGAATTTCTGAAGAATGTTCCTGACCGATACAAGTGGTGATTGATGATAGACAGCGAAAAAACGAACAAGCAAACAAGCAAATAAACTAGGAAACAAATGCTGTTACTCTGACGCATCGAATATAAAAATTTACTTGTTATTACTAGGGGCTCGGCTGTCTCAAAACTCCAGTGGTATATTTATAGTAACCTCGTATACTACTACATGAGAAATTTCTGCAATTTGATTGGTTTAGAGCAGTGGTATTTCAGCTTAATTTGAAATACCTACATGTGAAAATTACAAACCTTTTGCGGGTAGTAGTATAAACAAATAATAGCATGATTTGTACATGATATTTGGCATAAATACCACTCATGATATTTCAAAATTGTCTCAAATTTCACTCGTCTAACGGCTCGTGAAATTACGTATAACAATTTTGAAATATAACTTGTGTTATTTATGCCAAATATCACTACAAATCATGCTATTACCTATACTAATACCAGAGAATTGTACAATATTACATACATAAGGCCACTCTTTTTTGAAGCAACCAGATTTTGCGATTTTTGCTTTTTTTTGTTCAGCGAATCGCAAAATTTTGGTGGCAGAGAATTTTTGTTCTGTTTTTCAGCCAAACTTTTGCAAAACCACAAGATCAAAGTGTGCGCAAAATATGCAGCTTCTTACTCTGAAACGTCAGCGGTTTCTTTGCCCCAACCCCGCAACGTGCAGCCGTTGAGATGGGCGTGGAGTGGGCTGGCGAAGAGACGGCTGACATTTCAGACTAAAGGTGATATTACACGAGGCGATTCGCAAAGACGATTTTTTGCGCAACACAGCATTGCAGCATTGTTGCGACATTGTTTCGAATGGTTACAACATTGTTCCAACATCGCAAGGCTGTGTTGCGCTAAAAATCGTCGCTGCGAATCGTCCCGTGTAACATCACCCTTAAAGCCCCTTGCAAACGGACGCAACATTGTTGGCCAACAACTTCCGACAATACGCAACAACATGCAACAAGATGTGCAAACGGACGCAACATGTAACATCCTGATCCAACAATGTTGCGTCTGTTTGCACGGGGCGTGAGAGCAAAATACAAAAACTTAAGCACCGCAAACAATGGTAGCCTGAAGGTAATATATCGTCAAATGAATCCGTTGTAATTGGATCACGTAAATGCAATGCAAGTGTTTATGGCCTCTGGCTACTCGAAACGACGGAAGCGATCGTCGTAAACAGGACAACCGTAAAAATTAAAGTTGATGTTACACGGGACGATTCGCAACGAAGATTTTTAGCGCAACACAGCGTTGCAATGCTGGAGCATTATTGTAACCATTCGAAACAATGTAACAATGTTGCAACGCTTTGTTGCGCTAAACATCACCTTAAGTTTGTCCGCGTTCAAACTGTTAAACGGGTCCCTAATTTTCACATATACTCTCAAGATATATGACTTAACACATAGAGATGCATTTACTTGGTATAACAACTTGTATTTAAGGTACTTGAGTTTACGAAAGTACGCTATTTAGTCATTTATTATCTCGAATAAACAAAATCAGTATATTTAAATCCTGTTTTTTTGGCAACTATTTCGTTGTTTTCAACTTCGTTCGATATGTGCCGCCAAACAGGTATGGTTTTCAGGGTCTTGAGTTTTAAACAAGGTATACAATTTGACTATCTGACGTCTTGAACAGGGTATATTTCTAGGCGGGATGCCTTGAACAGGTTAAAAACCTTGGTGATGCGAGGTAAACTTGCTCTTTTATATTTCAAATTAAAAAAGCAAAGAATATGTTCCTGAACCGGTAATCTCATTTATATAATGTATTTCACACCACAACAAAAACTGTCTTATCTTACAGTGCGACTTCTCGAACCGGGGCACTTGGAAGATCATCCAATCACAACTCTTTTTGAAAACAAAAGATTCTCAAGTTTTTTTTGCAAACCGGGACCGATAACATTCATAAATTTGAGTGCTTTTTCCTGAGACGCCAGGCAATTTCAAACGGTTTTATAGTTTTCAACGGTTGCATAGTTGAACCTTGAATTCTATTGTTTCGTTTGCAAAAAATCTTGAGAATCTTTCGTTTTCAAAAAACCTTGTGATTCGATAGTCTTCTTCCAAGTGCCCCGGTTCGAGTAGTCACATTGTAAACAGGGTAGAGTGAACGGATATAGTCGTAAGGAGGGTGAAGGTTTTGAAGGCCACGGCGGCACATCGCTACCAAAACGTTCCTTCAGTCCCCTCCGTCCTTTCCTTGGAAAGGTCACTGTACTGCCTAGTTCAGTTGGTAGAGGTCCAGCCTACTGACTAGTAGGGTATTGGTATGAATCCGACTGCCACCCAAGGTATTTATAAAGAATGGTAACGATTTTGTCTTAGTCCAGATATTTATGTCACTGGCTCCTCCATACATTTTTCGTCTCCTTTTGGCTTTCTCAGTTGGAATTTGCAAGAGTTTCGAATCCATCCCAGCCAATCAGGGTTTTTAAAAAAGAACTGGTCACACATTATCGTGCTGTACTTCCTCTCAGCGTAGACGAGCACATCACAAAAAATGACGTTATAATGTTGGTCCAGCTCCGCTGTTTCATCTGCTTTCACCAGCAGCCTACGGGTCATGGCTAGTTCAGTTCTCTTGGTACAAGATTTAAGAGACTAAAGTAGGCCCGTGTACGCGATTTCAAGCCGAGCATTAACCAACACTCCGAGTCTTAAAAAAATAACGACAGGCACTGGCAAATACGTAAATAAACTCAGGTGGCTTTTGAAGATGAAAAATGCGCGCTAGCCCGTTTAGCTGGCGGGATCAGAGTGCTTAGCTGCCAAGCGTGGCGACCGGTGTAGTCCCAACTAGACACATCTCCAGTCTTCTCGCGGTTTAAAACAAACAATTTCATTCCGCGGTGCTTTTTTGGTCTTTGGTAACATTTCGTGCGACAAATCTTGGCAGCGACGCAGGCTAGGTTCGCCTTAAGGTATTTACGTACAACGATAAATGACTGGTAGTCTGTTAATCTGATTGTAGTTTTTTAATTCGAATGTTTGTTTCACTCTACTGTATGATTTATATTATTTACTCAGTCTTTCAAAAATGCTCCTGGCATTTACGAGTCCCCAGGACTACTCGCCGGTTGCGGTGAGTTTATCTCCAACCACTGGTAAAATTAGCTCCAAAATGAAGCTGCCGAGCAAACGTTCTTCCTTTTCGAAGTTATTCTAATACCACCGGCATAAAATTTTTTAGTCTTGGAAAAAACAATATATATGAGACACGCAAAGAAATTAGTCTCTAATCACTTGCTTAGTTATGTGTTAAAATAAATTAAAGATACAAGGGAGCTTAAGCAACGATAACGGCAACAACAACGACAACGGCAAAAAAGCAAGGTTTAGACAGCAATAGAACGGCAACTTTGCACGTGCATCACGCTTTTTTGTACATTTCCTTGCCGTCGTTTCACGACTTAAACGTCAAACTTGCTAACTTTACGCTTTATGGAAAACGTTAACACAACAGCACGGTTTTCCGCCTTTCTTTTTCAGAAATTAGATAGAGCCCCTTACAATTCAATTCCAGAAAAATTCGCCAACATTTGACAAATCAAACGAGGTAGACTTCGATAGAATAGCAGGAAGTGATGAAGTTTGACGCAGCGCGAATTCACTTTTCAAGAAACGTTTTCGCTGTCCTCGCCGTCGTTGTTGCTTAATCTACCCACAGATACAAAGACAGGACGATCATTGTCCACAAGACTTTGACTGTGACTGTCTATTTAGCAAGCAGTGACTGCCCAGTCATTTCCTGTGGAATTGGAAGACCCATAACATCTAACACAGTAGTCGCTACATCACAAAGCGCCGCATTGTGAGTGATTTCCTTAAACTTGAGTCCACCGGTCATAACGAAGGGCACTGAAAACAAACACAAAGACAAAACAATATAAGGTACAGTGATACCAGCGGAAAAAACTAAGGCCACAAGCAGACATTCGTTATTTCCTTTCTGTGGCCAAGAAAAGCAAAAAAATAAAAAAATGAAAATAATCATAATAATAATAATTCGATGCCCTAGTTATGCTTCTGAATTTGCATGAAATAACATCGTGATAGCAAGAGGCCACGAAGCAATTCAAAAGTTACCTTCGTACTTGTTCGTCCACAAAGACCTTGAAGTGATTGGTCTTTGCATGTTTACTTAACAAGTCAGTAATATTGCTTTCTGACTAGACTGACCTTTGTAACCTGAGTATTGGGCCTTCCTTAGAGGTCAGGAGAGAAGGCACCTGAACAGTGGAAGGGGAAGAGGGAGCCTTGTTTTTCAGTTTCTTCGCCCTCTCGTAATGGGCGGATTAAGTAAAAGCAATGTGGAGGACGGCGCGCGCAGTTAAACCAATATGACCAAAGGCGGAACGGCAATTTGAGCATCAGAAGTCGCGTTCAGTCCTTACCCTCTGACGCGCTTTCACGTTCTCACTTTCAGGAAGCGTTGTCTTCGCCAAACACGCTTAATAGAGACCTTTAAATTCGAGGACGAGATTTAATTTAAAGTATTTTCGCGTATTCTCGAAAATATTTACACTGGAAGGCTTTGTTGCACTAGAAAAGTTAGCACGGTTGTTTGCAAAATGATTATTGAGAAAATCTCGTCCTCGTCATATCTCATTATGTTCGCTCACCCACAAATCCTGAGGGACTGCTAGAAGTCTAAGTTTTGATTTACTATAGCATTAAACTCGAGGCCTGCTTGATTAATAGATTTAAACTACTTAAACAGCTGAATTCGTAGAAATTTGTTAACCACTCACCCCGGTTAGTAGTATGCGCTGTATGTGGACCACCATTCTCAGCAAACATTTGTTCAGCATTACCATGATCTGCTGTAACCATTAACACATAACCTTGCTCTTCACAGGTTTTGAAGATCTCACCTATTTCCTTATCTAAGACAAACAAAACAGGACTTTTAAAACTTCTCTCTCAGTCCTATTCTATTCCTTCTACTCTGCATGCAGAGGTTTTCTGGTCTTCTCTGGATGGCCGAGGTAAAATCCACTGAATGAGACGAGAATATAAAAAAGCACGCCGCTTACTATGCTCCCCTACGAAGCAGTTGGCATATTCTCAATTCTGCTTAACTCCCTCTTGGCTGTAGGGCCGAGGGTTAGTTCGACCTTGATTTGTAGTTTCATATTCACAGCGCGAATCACCTTAGCCTGCTAGCTCTCCGGGGCGCTCTGGTGGCGGGGCGACCAGAGCTTGCTAGCAGGCTAGAAGCACCTTGAAAACGCGCGTCAAGGGATCGTGTTTCAAGTTGGGTGATACATTATGCTACCGAAAACCGCATAAAGCAATGACCTCAGATTGATCACCAAAATGACTAACAGGTAACCTATAATGCAGCTTTCTTCTCTCTTTTTTCTTCTCGGCAACTCGTGCCTCGTTCGGAGCTTTCCGAAGGTCCCGCACTTCAGGTGAAAATCGTTCCTACCGAGCAGAGACAGTAATTCACCGACTTGTAACACAATCAAACGCTTCAAACGGTTGAACAAAGGTGATTCGCACCAAGAATGTTACTGGAATCAATGTAGAACATAAATCCTCTGCGCCCAGTGTCAAGGCGTCTACGGATGGGGTTTATGGAGAGAACGACAACCAAGATAATATAGGCGCTGGTGAGGGGTGCCCAGTAATGTAGGAGCTGCTCGTAAGGTAATTCCTCATTGGTCACAGAAAACAATAACACAACACTGTTTATCACCATCTCCCATTGTGAGCTGCTACATGACTAGGGGTGTGTGTGTGTGTGGGGGGGGGGTGGGGGGGAATAAAAATAAATAAACCGTTTATTCAACAGACCATTTTCAGCAATTCAGTCAGTTGAGGGTGACGCAGAAACAAAAAAAGGGGTAAGTAATTGAGGAGAGGAGGGTGCGGCTTTTCAGGGGCCCCTTCCAGGTCTCTTGGAGGATTAAAAGTCTAAAAAAAACCTGCACTGACTTGCGATTGTTTCGCCTAGAATTATGTCGATTCGCCCGATGACATACAACACTTAAGAACACGATGAACATGCTTATGTGAGATGTTATTTTATAGTTAAGCTTGGATTCCACAAGTGCAGTCGCTGTGTTCACGCTTAGTCCTTTTCCTCAGGCTTGCAAAACGACAAATACACATCGAGCGAATCGAAAAAACACCGAGAGAACTGCCGTAGGGCGAATTGACCTTCGGGCGAAACGATCTGGTACCAGTGAGAAGGACTCACCTGTTGCCTCACAGCCTGTAATAGCTGGCTCGTATTTCCCCGTGTGTCCCACCATGTCAGGAGGGGCAAAATTGCACATCACAAATGGATACTGGCCACTCTTTACAGCTTTACACACCTTAAAACAAAATCTAATATTAAGGGCAGGGACAAAATTGGAGACAGGTTACATGGACAATTCCTCTTGTATGATAAAACTAGCTGCGAATACAGCCGTCTCTCGTCTCCTCGCGAGGAACGAGGAGAGACGGCTGTATTCGTAGGATATGATAGTGGAACCTCTATTTAACGAGCCTCTATATAATGAAGTTCTCGGTAAATAACGAACGATTTTCTTCAGCCACACCAGTTAAATACAGTTAAATGTATGGAACAAAACCTCGATTTAACGAAATCAAGAGTTTCTATGTATCGCATACATGTATCTCCTATCTCCTATCTCCTATTTTCAGCTGTATTTTTGAAGGACCACACCTTTGCACAGTTGTGTATCATAAATTAATGGGCCAAGGGATAAACAATTCTAAAGTTTTATGGACAAATCATTTCAAGCAGAGAAGAATAATTGACCTGACGCTTAATACTCAAACCAGACAGCAGAAGACTCATTCTAAATGAACTCACATGAATTTTATCTTTTACTTGACTCTTGGTCCTAGAAGACCGTGGAAATGTTAACTACACGTTTAGTCTTTACAAACTTTGAATTTTTGGCAGCGAAGAGTCAGTAGCGAATTCGCATGTTGGTAGCGAACATGTAGCGAACTCGGACGTAGCGAACTCTACAAGTAGCGAAACCGGCTGTTACCCTTGACTCACCTCTGCACCAACCCCCTGAGCACTCATTTCAGGCTGCAAATCATATGTTGCTACTTTAGGTGAAGGTACCATGAATCTGGTTTCTCCTTCAAACTGTTTCTCTACTCCTCCATTGAAGAAGAATGTCACATGGGCATACTTTTCAGTTTCTGACAAAAAAAATCAAAGTGGCTCCCAACTTTTAGGACGAGTAGTAAAACAAGGGTGAATGCCTAAAACGAACACCAGGTCAAGATTTTTAAGCTTGAAACTCTTATTAAGAGACATTTTTTGCTGGTGCCTCAGGACTAAATTTTTCCTTTCTGTTCTCTTGTGTTCGAAGACCATTTGCCTACCAGTGAGTGCACAATTTTTGAGTAATCTTGACATGAAAACTTACTGTACCTTTATGAAATCAAGACTATCACGTGATTTAGTGTACAGTAACAATTCGTGGGTAAGAACCTGTATCATTTCCAAAAAGCTTCTTGAAATGATAGTGATTGGAGTCTTAAGGCATATAATTATGTCTCCATAGAGGGTCCTGAATGTTGACTTATCTTATTTTTCCAATTGTACAGATGTTTTAAAATAGATTTTAGAGAACAAGAACCTGTTTCAAATTTTAGGCTAAACAGGTTCTTGTATAGAGGGGACTTAACTGCCAAATTTTAAAAACCAACAGGTGCTTAAAAACCAGGTTCTTAGTCGAGGGTGTTTACTGTATAGTGTTTAGACATGTCTACACGGACCTACCTGCACAGTGGAACTGAGGGACATTCTGAACAGAAAGCCATTCAGCCAGGACATTTTTCGGAACAACAGGGGGAAACAATATAGGAAAAGGAAATTCCTTCTTGTACTGTGTCATAGTTATTTGATGCTAAAAAAAGAAGAGAAAGAAAAGAAAGAACAAAGTAGGGACCTTCACGACGATATTCGCGGTGAGTTACCTATCCAATTCCTAACCCCGCCCGACAGGGCTTAACTTGAGTTGCGCTACTAAAAAACCGAGTTTCGCGAGATACGTATTTCTAGATTATATTGCAATGTTGAACATGAATTATCCTCGGTGTGAAGATTGTGCATTTTCAGCAAGTTTTGTAAGGAAGTCTCTTGATTTTAGTTAGTTTCGTTGCTGGAGAAGGTGTGGAGTTAACTGGACACTCACGCGCGCGCGAAGCGCGCACAGCGGAGTGCCATGGGTAAGAAAATTTGGTTATCTATGCATCCAAGAAATATTGGTTCTGAGAAAATCGTCCGCGCGTCCACCCCATCATGTAAGTCGGGGTGAGATTTTGCATTACAAGTACCCGCGCGATCGCATAGCCATCCGGACTTTTAGAGATAAAAAAGCAACAACAACAAAGCCGTGGATAACAGAAAAAGAGCTAGAGCGAGAAATAAAAAAACAAAGGAGACTAATTTCGTTGGAAGAATAACATTAAAGTTTTATAGCCGCGGTGAGAAAATGAGAAATGCTGGCGGCCACAAAGGTGAAAATGAGTGAACAGGAACACATGCAACATTTCCTTCATAAAACGTCAAACTAGGAAGTTTCTGGAAGTTTCTCGTTGTAGTCGTGCAAAATAACGGAAAAGAGATGTACAAAAAAAGTGTGCTGTACGTGCAAAGTTGTTTTTTGGCTAATTAGACCTACTGATTTTTTTTAGCTGTTTTTGTTGCCGTCGCCGCTTAGCATTACACGATTATTTGACATTTTGTTTGAGTAAACTATAGATATTAACGAGAGCTTCACTTTTAGGCCAAGCGGTTATGCACCTAGCAGACTTCCAGTGAAGAAGTTAAGACGTCTGTTACACAAAAGGAGAAAAGTAAGGGTATCTGTATGGAAGGGATCCGCGTTCGTCACTTAAGGAAAAATTACGGAAACGAAATCGAGTCGAAAGGAGTCCAGTTACCCGGCCTAGGTGTCCCTGATAAAATTAATGGGGGTGGCTAATTTGCAGTGATAGCTCGAAAATTTCTGCCTTAGTGCCACAGGAACACCAGATTAGAATGCGTTCTGACAAACGCGATAATAAAGATGATAAAGAAGAAAACATGCTTTTCAAGGAAGCTACCGCTTTTTCAAGGAAGCTACCGCTTCCTTTACAGATAACTCAAATATCCCCCCCCCCGAAAAAAAAAAGTGATTCAGAGAGACTGGGGACTAGAACTCAGAGGAAACTGTGTGTCAAATTCAATTTATGTCGCTATTCACCATTTTCACCGCGGCCATGATGCGTCTTACTTAACCCCCAAAATTTTACAAACACATTGTTTCCAATTTCACCTGGGTATTTAATTAAGTTATCCCAACAAAAAGTCAAAGACAATGGTTATGCAAAATTTTGGGGGTAAACAACGTGCATTATGGTCTCAGACGGTGAAAACAATGAATGGAATTATTAAGTAATATTGCTATCAAAATTATAAATAAATTGCCACAGTTAGTGAAATGAACACAGTTGGAGTGACATTAGTCTCCTCTGAAGGCAACTGTGGTTATCTTCTGTGATTTAGGAACATAAATTGACACAATAATGCTGTCAACTTTCTCTAAGATGGACACTCAGCGTCTGGCTTACTTACAATGTTTTTTGGAATGACATCTGTCTCAAATGGTGGCTTTATACCAAATGCTTCATTAATTTGCCTCATTCTATCAGAGCGGAAATCAATAAAGCAGAGTGTGTCTCCATCTGAACAAGGTCAAAATAAAAAATTCAACAAAAGAAGCACTTACATTTTCAAGTCTATGTAAAAGACGGTCAAAAGGTTTGAAAGAGGGGTCAAATTAAACTTGACAAATAATCACATTGAATAAGAAAAACTAAAAAAGAAACAAACAGTAAGTTATGTAAGTTAGTTTGTGTAAATTGGTCTGATGAATGGCATTCCACATTTGAGAAGTTCAACAAAGCATTTCAATCAGTTTTTTAGAACATAAAATTATTATACTCTTTGCTGTATAAGGAGAATAACAACAAAAACAAAAGCAGTGCCATGAAATAACACCATAAATGTTACTGCCTTCATGGGCATAATTCAACACCAGTTACTATTGTCACGAATGCAAGTTAGGGACTGACCTTGAACTCTTCCCTCTGGATCTAAGATGATAGGTTTGAGAAATTCATCTGTTTCATGTTTGTCACCCTGTGCTTCATATCGCCCTTTGATGACCTGTTGAGATAAGGTACTTGTTTATGCTAAAGTTCTACTATAGGTTTATTGCTAATGAGAAAATTAAATTCAAATGTGCTTGTGAGAGCTCCTTCAATATTTCTGGAGGAATACCATGGCAGGATTAGCTCAGTTAGTACTTGACGGCAGATCAGGAGGTGGTGGGTTCGATTCCTGAGGCCAGACCAATACTCAGGGTCTTAAAATAACAGGGAAATGAAGGTACTACCTTTGCTCTGCATGCAGACGGCTAGACCTTCACGTGGCTCAGAAACCATGTAAAATGACGGTTCCATCTCCAAGTAGGAGACATAAAAATAGTGACCTCAGTTAGTACTTTCGTGCTAAATACATTGACACTCACATAAGGTTAATTTTTTTATATACCTCAATGACTTTGTCTGGTGTGGTAGTTTCACCAATTCCTTGGACTATGGCCTCATAGGCAATCTTGATTCTCTCCCAGCGCTTATCACGGTCCATGGCGTAGTAACGACCAACCACAGTTGCAAGTGAGCCATAATTGACTTCTTTTAGCTTTTTTAACACTTGTTCTATATAGGTTACTGGAAAAAAAAGATACACAGTCGGCTAATCACTAATAGTATGTGTGAAGTTCTGTAAACTATCCTGCTCACACTAACAAGACAAAGATAAAATTTATTTGTAACATAGATATGCATTGGCTTCATAAGATATTGAACCATTTATTTTATAATACATCCCTTAGAATGAGGCCCTGTTAAGAAAAGTACCGAGTTTTCAGTGAAAATCCTCTTTTTAGCACAAAACAACCAAATCTGGCCATTCAAAAATGCCAAATTGGGTAAAAAACAATTGGCATAAGACTACCGTAAAACTCCAAAAATAAGCCCCGGGGCTTACATTTTTCAAAGGCCCTTTTTGAGGGGCTTATATTCGGAGGGGTTTATCTATGGAGGGAAATTTGCGTTTCAAAATCGATTAGGCTAGCCTTATAAATGGAAGGAAATTTACGTTTTTTTTGTTTTACTTTGTATTTGAGGGCAATTTCCGAGTACAAGCCCCCTGGGGGGGCTTATATTTGGAGGGGCGATTTAACGGAGGGTTTTTTTGCGTTATGAGTTTGGCGGGCTTATATTTGGAGGGGCTTATACATGGAGGGGCTTATTTTCGGAATTTTACGGTATTTTGGGGTTTTTTGATTACCCCATTTTTCCTGAACCTGCATGGAAAACCACTCAGCCATGACTAGGTGGCAAGAATTGTTTTTCCCATACAAATCCTTCTAATTTTTTTTGTAGCTGTTGCAACACCTAATTCCCTAATTAAAATATGCACTTTCAGTTCCTGCTAACAAAATTTTCCAAAAGCGAACTGTTTTCATGTTTACGGAAAGTTGATCACCTGACTAGCTATTGCAAAAAAGCCTATTAAAGTGCATGTGTATTAACTGAACCTAGGATGTCTGGAAAAGGCCTAAAGTGACTTAGGACAAAAACCATGTACTGGGGATAATGAATTTCAGAGGCTTCCTCAAGTTTTTCTTAGAAAAGAGCCTTGTGAATACTAGTAATTTAACAAACCTCCACTGGTTGGTGAGGTATCTCGCCCATCAGAGAAAAACTGAATAAAACACTTTGGAACGCCAAGTTCTTTAGCTGCATCAATTAATGACTCCAAATGTGTAATATGTGAATGGACACCACCATCACTGACCTGAAATAAAATCCTAAAATATAATCCTAGTCTCGCTTCAGTTTTACACGGCAGTCCTTACTCAAGGGCAGTACTTAAATGTTGAAAAAATAATGCTGAACCAATTTTGAATTACGATAAACTTCAAACGTAACTTTTTCTAAGTAACTACTTCATCAGCTCTAAAACAATGTAGAGTAATACAGTTAGAACAATATATTATTCATATTTAATTACTTACAACAGTTTTTATGATGAAAAGCAATTCTGAACACCTTGCCATTGGTCTTAGAGGTGTGCAGTGTTCCCCAGTTGACTAAACATTGGGGAAAATCTACACGTGAGCAAACCTTTAGTCCCAATTAGGTCTTATACTTGTAAGCATTAAATGCACAGATCAGTTAAGTTTTAAGCCTGTAAGAGCAGATGCTTTTCTGTCTCTTGTTCCAGGCACCAGATGAAAGCCATGAAGGTGCCTCCTGTCATAATAGACTATCAAGACTTATGAATTTAGTAAATCTAAAAGCCAGCTTTAAGTTAGCTCTTTCTTCACAAGCCAATCTTCATCCCCTGTGTAATTGTATCTACAATTGGTTGAAGGCTCTAGCTATATTCTCCTTAGAACAGGATGACAAACCAGAGAGTCGTTCCAAAGCTCTCTCAGAGGCCTTCCAAGAGGTAGAAGTGACAGACCACATGGCCACAAAAAATGGTGACAATCCTTCCACGAAAGCACGTCATGTTTTTATCACCATACTCTTTTATGCCTTTGTTAATGTTTTACAAAAAAAATTCTCATCAAAGTGTTTTTTATAAATCAAAAACTAAATATTTATCTGTCAGTGTATCATCTGACATGAATGCTCTAATTACTTACCAAACCCAGAAAATGAAGTCTTCCATTTCCAGACTTTGCTCTTGCTGCTGCATCAGCCAAAACTTCATTTTTAGCAAACTCCTTGTTATCTGATGTCATGTTAATTCTCACAATATCCTAGAAAAATATTGCAATTGTGAGATAGTTTCACACAATTATGCCTCATGTCAGTTGTTTTGCTCTTAAAGACAAAGGAATTTTTTGTTTGAACTGGAAACTTTGTATAGTGAGAGCAGAAGAATTATTCATGTGTAAATAAACAGTATGCATAACTTAAGTGAAAAAATATCCTTGTTCTAATTTTAACATATTAAATAGATAAGTAATCCACAGTAAACCTTAAAGCCCAAATTAATATCAAAGCAGATATTCTTCAATTTTTAAATGGTGGAAAAAAACCATCAATTATTCTTGGTCAAAATGTCTCGATTAATTGTCGTTGCTCAGAATTCAGTAAAACGTGGCTTAAAGCTTCTTTTTTATCATTTTCAACACAGAGAATGTTTTTATAACACTTACAGGTACGACCAGAATTTGGTTAAACATCACAGCATTTCTATCTTAAGTACAAAAATTATTTTCTGTATTCTCATGATCTTAAGAATAAAGATTTGATTAAGCAGTAATATTTGAAGGAGAAATTTGATGTTAATTATTTCTTAGGGTACTTGTATTATTGTTATAATTATCATAGCTTTTACCTGATAAAGAACTCTTCCTGCACCAATGTTCAAATGACCTACTTCACTATTACCCATAAGCCCTGCTGGCAAACCAACTGACAAGCCTGAGGCATCTAGTGTGGTGTAAGCATTGTCTTGGCCAGCACAAAACTTGTCCATAACTGGTACAGTTCCATTGGCAATAGCATTGCCTGCGTGATTAAAGAAAAAAAAGCACATCATCAGATACACATGTTGCATTGAGCATAAGCATGAACTGAGCAAAAAATAGCAGGGACAGCATCTTAAATATTGGCTTCATCCATGAATTTAGACTTAACAGTGCAGCATGACACTGTAGCAAATTCATGATTCTAAAGGAAAGCATCAGTGAAAACTGAAAAGAAGTTTCTTATTTCATTGCACTAACCCATCTTATTCAAATGCAACAATAAACACAAGACAGCCAATTGCAAATGGCTTAATAATAAAGCAAAAGACTGAAATTGATCCTTTTTAGGACTTTTCCTACACTCCCATCCAGCCTCGACAGAACAAGTATTAAAAATTATGATTGGAGATAATCACAGTAAAATACATGATTGAAATGGTCTCAAAAGAGTACAGTGGAACCTCCACTAACAGCCATCTCTCCACAGTGGCCTTTTTTTTTGTCCTGGCGAACAGTCCATACATTGACTCTTGTTTAAACCTCTCTATAACGCTAATGTCTACTAAAGCATGTCCTAAACTGCCAAAATAACCTCTTGACAACAGCCACTGATGAAAAAGTCAAGAATGGTTGTGAAATTTGATCCATATGGCTTATTGATGATTAATCGTGACTCCGGTATGTACATTCAGTGAACACGTTTGAACTCCTTAAAAAAAAAATTGTCATATTACACCCCTACCTCTCCATAACGGCCACCTCTCCACAACGGTCACTTTCTTCTGTCCCCAAGGTGCTCATTGTGGAGAGGTTTGACGGTACATCTTTTGAGATTAGAAGAATATACCGTTATGATTCATAATCAAGGCGTATCCCACTCTTTACCATCCTGAAGGAGGTCAACTTTATGCTAGCCTGAGAAAACAGCTGATATTTTGAAATGACATCTGAGAAACGATGCAGAATTCCATGCTGATGATGTGTCACTACCCAAATCTGGGTGGTGCTTGTGACTGTCAGTTGTGTCGCAAGGGAAATTTGCTTCAGTCAATCGAAAGCAGCACTACCCAGATCTGGGTAGCGGTGTGCCATCAGTATGGAATTTCTGCAGTTGTTGCTCAGATGTCATTTTGGGAGGAAACCAGTGGTGGTGTCCCGAAATGTGGGCTGTTTTCTCAGGCTAGCTTTTTGCTAATGTAGCACTTCAGGACAAGCAAGTTAAAAATGCATACTCTAGGCACACAACGTGTTTAACAAATTATGCTGCAAAAATTTTAATAACTCTTCAATTTCCCCTTGATTGGAGGAGTCTGGGACACAGCCACGCAAGTTGGAGCTGTGCATGGTCTGCTGAGACTAGTCACGCGATGTCACGCAACACTACACGGGACAGAAAAGGTGCACCTTAGTTACTGAACGTTCTTAGACATATTAAAAAATCATGCATGAAATTTTTAAACATCATGAAATATTAAACAACTGGATGAGTAGTTAAGCAGCTTATGGAGGAAAAGTCACCGATGACCCGATAACATGGCGTTAATATTCGCTTAACAGTTGGCTGTCATTTGAGTGAGTCTTAGAACGTGCGATTACCCGATTACCCCTATGATACAAAGTTCTCCGATTCCCAATAATGGTCTGATTCAAGAAATCGATTGAGAGTGTGTCATATCGAGAGATTAACAACAGCGCAAAATATAGGTTGCTGAAAGAGTATTTCTGAAGTCATGGATCACCGGTTGCGTGGCGAGAGTGTTCAAGCCGGCAAATACAACGCAAACAACAAAAACTTATCACCTTCTTTGTTCTCTGAGATGCCCCAGCCATCAATAACAATTAAGCAGACTTTCCTCTGTACTTGGGCCATAGGTAACGTTTAATTTACGAGTTAGCCGTCGTAAACCGGCAAAAATGTGCTGGTACTCAAGCCCTCTACCACCCCCATTGCATGCTGGTAGAGAGATATGCCCACAAAGAACACTGGGAAATCCAAGGTCTTTTGCTCCAGCGTCTAGTGTCGTTTGAAGTGATGATCAAAACTAGCCTGAATTTCATCCGATTACTTACTCCCTCAGTATTATTGAGAAGAGAAAACGACTAGGAATAATCGGATGAATTTCAGGCTAGATCAAAACGAACGTGATCAGTTTACGAAAATATGGACACATGGTTACACCCCCCACCCCCCCCCCCCCCCCCCCCACCCCAAAAAAAAAAACCCAACACCACACAAAACACAACACACAGAACCAACCCCCACAAACCACCACCCACTACCTCGTCTCCCACCATTCCTAGCTTCACCCTGCAACTTGTGTTGGTTTCGTTTTGTTATTCGAGACATGTGCTGTTGGTGTTTTAGGTGATGATGCAAAACTGGCTGAATATCATCCGATTTATTGTTCCCCCCGTATTATTGAGAAAAGAAAAAGAGTAGAAATAATCGGAGGAAATTTCGGGTAGAACAAAAAAAACGGGATAAGTTTACAAAAATATTGTGCACATGTTGCACCCCCCCCCCCCCCCCCCCCCAATAAAAACCAAAAACGTAAAGCCAGGAGTCCATAACCGGCAAAGCAGGGACTCCCCCCAACATTCCCTCTTCACTTTTCTTATGGTCCGTTCCTTGATTTTGCGGATCGGGTATTTGTGTGTGTGTTTTGTGTAAATCAACGACTTATCATCTAATAGTTGCGATCGTAAAAGACTGGTCTTCTTGCCGGAGATTTTTTTCTTCGAGCGCGAAATTAGAAAGTCGCGTTCACTACATGCGCTTGGAGATACAAGTGAAACTCAACATGCAGACTACAAACGTCGAAAAATATTATCTTTTCCACACCGGTATTCGACTACAGTGGAGACAAAATTTTTGCGGAATTTGCAGATCTTAAAGGAAAAAAAAGGAACCCGCTAAATTTAGTGCCACCTTACCCACCCAGGCTGATTGATTCCCCATCACTTATCTGTCTTGTCGGCTATTTTCTCTTTCTTTAATTTGCTGGACAGTTGTTTTTTGATTTCATGCTTGCTTTGGTCTCCCTCGCTTTCTTTACGAAAGTGGTTGGTGCATGTCTTGCCGTCCTTTGAAACGTGAAAGGAAAAAAAAAAACGGGAGACAACAAGAAATGCAAGAGAAATGTGCATTATTCAATTATTGGGCTTAGCCATTCATTTAAAGCTTGTGAACGACTAATTACCTGAGGTGATTTCAGACTGGTATACAGGGGCGTAGCCAGCTTTTCGACTAGTTGTAAGCCTGGCTGACTTTCACTTCCACATATCCTGAAAATTGCACGCATGACTATAGCTAGTACGCACTGACTTCACCGGCCTTTTGAGCTCTTTAGCTTTTTAGTTCACCCTAACAAAGCATAATTTACTACAAGCAGTAGGTCCTGGCCTACAGGTCTATGGGCTAGCTACACCCCTGGTATATGCACCTGCCAGTGGAGCATGACACTGGCAACACTGGCCGAGAACCGAAGGAAAACATCTCATAAAAACTAGGTGAAAATATATCTAAGCAAAAAAAAAATATCATGAAAGTCTTTTTGCCAATAAAGGTGTATCATATATTCGAGGCCAGATCAATCCTCTCTAAAAGAAGGAGAAAACAATTCTTTCAAGCTGTTGTGAGTTACAACGTATAGCCTAAAATAAAATAGCTGACATTTAGTGAACTCGCGTAGCACTGTCATGGCAAATGTAACACTAACTTGTATCAGGAGAACGCTCTCTCGCTATACAATTTACTACAGGTTTTGCACCCCCCCCCCCCCCCCCCCCCACCCACCCACACACCCACAATTCTCCTTTCACAACAAACACACGCACAAAAAACACCCACAATCACCAAAAAAAACAACANAAATTGATTATAAATGGAGCATTGTCTCTTGGTGGCAGAGAATAAGAGTCCAAATGACAACAGGCAATTTCCAAGTTTCCCCAAGCCTCTTTTTCAAAGCGAGGCTAAGTGCAAAGCCATTGATGTGAACATGATTCTTTATTCTACTGCAAATAAACTTCATTTTCCATAGAAAGATTTTGCACTTAGCCTAGAAAGGGAGAGTCGGATATAGCCTATTTGTCAAACAAGGAAAGAAAAACTAGAAATGTATTTATCATGGGTTATGTAACCTTTTCTTTGGGGTGTTACATGGTATGCTGTTCTGTTGTTTCATTAGCGGTAGGCTATATATTTGAGTTGTTCTCATTTATATTCATTCGCGTCTTACGACCGTCCCTACGCCCTCAAAATTAAATACCCGGTGATCAGGGGTTTCTCTTAGACGTAGTTTTTTGCATGCTGCTATATGAAAAGTTTAGCACGTTTTGTATGTTTACTGAATCATTGTTATACGAGCATAGTTTAGATCATTTTGTTGGGTTGATTTTCTTGCTGTAATTTTTTACATTTCCGAGTTTTCATTCTGTTTGTTGTATTATTTCCATCCATTCTGTTGATGAAGGCATAATAAAGAGGGTCGCACACGGCTCGTGTTGACACACCCCAATTGAGGTTGCTTGTTACATGATAAATGTTTTATATTCGTTTGAGCGGGGTAGCGAATTAAAGTATAATTTCAAAATGTATTCCTTAGTCAATACAAGAAAAAGTCAACTTCAGCAATAGAATTAGTAGGCCAGAATTAACATAAAATATTTATTTACTATGTGATGCAAGCGACCAAAGGTCCTAACTATGGTTCTTTAAGTGAAAAAAATTCGAAGATACTCAAATCATTGACAATTAATAAAGAGGAAACAAATCAGTTTAAATATCGTAAAGGAAGTTTGGTTAAATGATACTGATTTTCATAAAGTTTTGAGTTTCTTGAGTCAAAAGTTTTTAATGTGGCATTTGATTGGCTATATATCAAACACTCAGTACGGTGTAACATCTTTCTGATGTGGCCAGTCATCTCACCAAGTTGGTCGTAGGAAACTGTCGTCTACGCAACGAAAAAAAGTGTAATCGTGAAAAGTACCTCTCTAAAATTGTTTAAAGAAAAGGGGGTACTTTTCATTCATATACTCCTTGAACTGATTAGAAAATTGTTGTAAAATTCAAACTGAGGGTGAAATGTAAACAGCACCGCAGGAAAGCGCTAATAAGTGATTGGAATCTACAGATTCCATTTTGATTTTGAAATAGTTTGACTCCCGCTTGCATTCATTATCATTTTTTTGGAACTCAAGGAACTGACTCAAACGTGTAATATGACGACTTTTTTTACAGCATCCTAACAAGTGTGCCATCGCACGTTAAAAGTTCCCCGGTAGATAACTTTTCCCAATGCTCATAATAAATCGTTGCAGATCAAAACTCAAGTTTTCATCCTGCTGTACGATCTGTTAAAAAATTCTTTTCACCTAACGAAAAAAGCACCAAACTAGGCACATCAAAATAAGAAACGATAGCATAGTGTGCGGGCTGAAAATGTTCCTGTGGCAACGGCGGGGAAGACCTCTCGAATTTGGTCTGCCGGTCACCATTAAAGCAGACTCAACACAGGAAGAATTCAGCGGAATTTTAGACATATATTAAGACATATATTTTAACTAGTAAAATTATTATCTTGCAATAAAACTGCGATAAAATATTGTTCAAAAACATCAATCCCAAAACGTAACCATGGTATACGCGTAAACATACAGACTTGCAACGGGGAACTTCAAGCGTCGCTTCTGAATTATTTATATCAAGCAGAAACTTTTTAAGTTTTAACAGAAACGTTTTTCTCAGTCTGTTAATAATATTTCATCCCATGGAGAAGATGGAAGGCTTGTGGTTGGTTTTATTAACATCCTCTGCAAGTGTTGCGGTTCAAGGATTTAAGAATTTCTTATCAGATCCAGACTTAAAGTTCCGAAATTTCGCAACGAAGATTGATGGGCGAAGACTCAATGGAAGCTTCTTCAAAGAGTTCAATGTGACATCAGAAATATTTTGTCAAATTGAATGTGTGGCTGATAGCCGATGTTCCTCCTACAACTTACGTCCGATCTTAGGCATGGAGATGTTCGTTTGTCAGCTCAATCAGGGAGATAGATTCATGGGCCATCAAATTTTTACAGAAGAAGATGGCGCAATATATAGAGGAATACAGGTCAGTAATAAAGCAAGGTTATGTAATATTGTAATACAGTTGAACCTCCACGTGCGACCACCTTCCCAAAACACCAAAAATCTTCTCAGTCAAAGCGTTATAGCTGAGACCTGTCGTAAACGACCACCTCTCGTAGGCGACCGCGACCACTTTTTCTGCTTTTCACCCTCGGTAAGCGACCACTTAACACATGTCTTACTAAACAGTGAAGTACATTGTAAAAATGGACCAAAAGGAATTTATCTTTGGCTGTCATTATTGTCTACACATCTATTACTGTGTTTATTAGTTCGATCTATAACTACAGTATTAACCATTACCCTTGAAAAAAGTCTGGGTAGTATAGAATACCTAGCCAGTGAAACAGGGACTTTTCTTGGGGAATTAAGCTCCATGGTTGAGCGAGAGGTGCCCTGGTACCGGTATCAAGTGAATCCTTACTTCTTTCAGGAACATGTCGTTCTATTGCTGATCTTGACTTGTTCAGGTACAGGCAAAACTTCAAGCTTTTCCTTTTTTTTTAGAGCATCTGTCAAAGAGAATCACCTTGTGCCGAAGATGAGATATGCATTCCCGACTACGAAGATGATGCCAAGCATTTCTGCAAATGTGTCGGTTCAGGTAAGGCGTCCAGACAAATCTGGATTAATCCGAAAACGCATCTTTTTACATTTTCTCCAGCTAGGTCTACTGTTCACACTGAAATGGTATTTTTGGTAAAGAAAACCTAGCGGTCCTCAGGTTAGTGAAATTTTAACCGCCTGCTGCTGTAGTTGTTGGAGTAGTTTTGTTGTTATCGCATAGATCCAAAACGACTATGAGGGCGAGAAACTCCATTTTCAATTTATCGTTGTTAGCGTAAATGTTATCAAAGCTTCAATTAATTTAGCACAAAGTAAACTGTTCTCCAAGTGCTGAGACAGTGCCCAGGAGTAACATTGCCTGTCTAATCAGCACTTACGCAATTAGGCACAATTAAGACGTAATCGTCACAGTTTTTATTCAAGACGAAAGGTTTACAGAGCTCAGTAGAAATACTTGCATTGTTTCTTCAATTTAAAGCCAAAAAAATATAAGATATTTATGGGCGCAGTGATCTCCACCCTTCACTCCTTCATTCGAGTAATTTTTGGTTATTCAATGTTCGTACAATTTGATAGAAGGTGATAAGAGTATTGATTCCCTTTTCTCCTCTCTTGCACTCTTAGCTTATTTATGATCTTTAGTGCTTTTTAGCACTGTTTTGAAGCACAATAGGACTACCGCAAAAGAACCAAATCTGTTCAGTAACTTTTTTAAACAAGCTAATTAAGGCATAGAATGTCTTGCTGGCTTCAGTGAATAGATCATGTTTTTTAATGCAGAATGCTTTCGCCCAAGACATTGTCACGAGCTTTACTTAAATGGTTCCACGACTGATGGAGTGTACTTGGTTTACCCTGACAACGAAGAACCCATTAAAGTGCTGTGTGACATGAAAACAGAGGGCGGTGGATGGACAGTCTTTCAAAGACGAATGGATGGATCAGTGGACTTCTACTTGGGATGGGAAGACTACAGAGTGGGATTTGGAAATCTGAACGGGGAGTTCTGGTTAGGGAATGATAATCTTCACCGTCTGACTGCAAATGCTGATATGATGCTCCGAGTTGATTTGGAGGATTACGATGGTGTCCGAAAATATGCCCAGTACACGACATTCTCTGTAGCTGACGCGGACGACAACTATCGACTGACGATTGACGGATATAATGGCACCGCGGGTGATTCGATGGTCGTGTGTGCTAAGCCAGCTAAGTAAGTACGTAGGGATATAATTAAGGTGGCTCGATAGGGTTTTTCAGGGTCAATACCTCCCAAGTTTGAGCATAAACTACGTCACCTTTTTACAAAAATTTGGAAAATTTCCATCACAGCTGTATTAGATAAAGATGAAAATTTGTTATGATCAGGGTTGCAATGACATCTAGTTCACATAGCAACGAAATGACGCCATTGCCTATTTTACTTGCAGCCGTATTTTTCGGCACTGGGAACTGTTGTTCCAAAATCGTTAACGGGAGAGTTTTCGTCCAATAGCCGCCTCGATATATGTTCGCGAAGTGTAAGCGAAATTTATAAGAGCATTATCGAGATATTTGGGATGAAGTTTTTATGGTTAGAAATACGGAAAGAAATGGACAATCTTGATGTTCGACCGTTATTTGTAGAAAACAAAGCGCTTGAAAGGCAATTTCACCTCATAGTAGTTTCAATCTTTTTAAAAACGTGTGTGAGAGATACGTAGAGATCATGGAGATAGCTCTAACTGATTGCTAGAAGGAAGGATTTTATTCAGTATGTATCGAGGCGCTCTGGTTAGCGGTTTTGTGAACCTTTTGATCTACTTTAACAAATAAGCGAAACCGCAAGAAAGATTTTTTTTAAATTTGAGATTCTCTAGGGAATGAGTAACCGCGAGCGACCTGGACCGTCTGAAAATCAGGCTACATTTTCGCGGACAGAGAGCTTTTATTGAGTGCTGAATAAGAGAAGTTCGCTGCCGCCTTCAAAGGCAAAAACTCGCTTCTCTGCTCCCTATGTCTAGCAAAGCAGAGCACAGACTAAACACAGTTTTCAACGAGCATTCATAGTGTTATTATGAAACTAGGATGCAAATGCCGTGTTTCCTCATACTAATTTTCCCTTAAAAATGGATACACACCTAAGGAAAAATTGCAATATTGATGGGCTTTTCTCGCATCAACTACATCTAATCAGAAATTTTTTCGCCATTACATTATGACCCCACCTAAGAGAAAACGGGGAAAATCAAAGGCGCTTCTCGGTAAAGCCAATCTTCGAGGCAAGTTAGATGCCATCTTGGAATGGTATGAACTGCAAGTTACCGGAACTATAGGGCGCTCATTGGCCAAAATTCAATGAAAGAACATCCGTTATTATGATTACGACACACAATGAGCGTATTACAAGCATAATCATAAGAAAACGACCGATCATTTTCTAAAGATTATGATATTGTTGATAACAAACGTCTTTATGAATATGATTTTATACTTTGACATAATAACCGACATAAGCCCCTCCCCCCTAATGACTAAGATTATGTTCGTTATATAGGTCACTCATGGAACCAGCTAGAAGCTAGAAACTTTGCACATGTAGCACACTTTTTGGAACATTTCTTTGCAATCGTGGAGTAACGCCTTATTTCACGTCGTGTAGAGGAACGTTTGCAAACGACTTCAAATTTCTCTTTTCCTTTTAAACTTGGATTTTGTTTTAAGAAATTCAACTCTAGGAGAGAGAGTTCGCCTACTTTTGGCGTAACTAAACGCAGAGCTCAGTCGAACTCACTGAACCCGTTTAAAACTTTTAAACGAAGAACGGGAATTCAGAACGTCAGTGAACTGATAGAAGCTCATACAATGCTTCCAGTGGCGGATCCAAGGGAGGGGCCGGGGGAGCGGGCGGCCTCCCCTTATTTTTAGACCAAAATGAGGCGCGAAGGGCAGAAAAAAATTTTTTTGAGACCAGGACCCCCCCTTATCTCAAGGTCTGGATGACTGCCCCCCCCTATCTGAAGGTCTGGATCTGTCACTGGCTTCTTATACAGCTATGCTGTTTATACGCAGCTATTGCGGCACCTGAAAAAAGACCGAGAGGTTACAACTGTATTTAAGATCTCTCCTAACAAATTACCCACCCAATCTATACCAAGATCAATGGGTTCGATGAGTGGTCGCTGTCAAAGAATCGTTATTGACCTATCGTGCCTCTGGGTCCCATATACAGTTAGATTTAATGAAAACACTGTGACAGGACCTACAAGTTTAGATTTAGTCCTTTTCTGAGAAGACTGGAGAGTGTACATATTTTTGAAAGTCGAGCAAAGCTATAGCTCTTTCGCCTCCTTTCCTCAATTATTTGAAGCCCCAAATGCCGAAGGCCGAAAATCGAACCAGGGTCTACCGCAACACAGTCATGCATACAGACCAGCTCGATAAGTTGCTTTTCATATGAAAAAGTAAATTTTAACGTTAAAAACTTGTGTTAGTTTTGTATGAGTTTTCCAGTGTAATGAATCATAAATCAGAATGGATATAATATCGCGGTTGTTGATTTTGTAATGAGAATTGTGTTTTAACAACCATCGATATTTCTTTAGGAACATGATGTTTACAACGCAAGATAGAGACAATGATGTGAATTCTGGAGCAAATTGTGCGGTTTCGTACAAAGGAGGATGGTGGTACAATAAGTGCCATTGCGCTAATCTTAATGGATTGTACCAAGGAGGTTTACACGCACAAGGCGTCGCGTGGTCCTCATTGAGAGGCCTTGGGTATTCCTTTAAACACGCAGAGATGAAATTTCGGCCTAATTAAGGCTACAGCAACTTCATATCCAGCAGGCACCACTGGAATAATTGTTAAATGGACCAATAGCTCTGGGCCAATGAGAGAACGAGAATCACGACAGAAACACTTAACACAGGAAACGAGACTCATTAGCTTTCGTTCAACTGATGTCATTTTGGACTTTCAGCCAGAAACTCAACCTTAGGACGATTAAGTCACGATGTTATCCGTCGTCTGTCAGTTAAGCAGTGATTTATTGGCTATGAAGCCACTTAATGTCATTGGTGCGTTTCGATCCGTCTATTGTCACAGTTAAACAGTTACCGGCACCGTACAAACGACTTATTGGCGGACTCAAGCAATACTAACTACGAGGGAATGACTGGACAACCGACAATTTGACCAACAATACACGACTGTTTAACTGTGACAGTAGAAACGAAACGCACCAATGACACCATTAGTCTTCATAGCCAATAAGTAAACGTAACGGCTTAACTAGCAGAAGACCAACTTCAACGCGACTTTATTGACCAATGAGGGCAATAACCAGAGTTAAATACCATCAACTGACGTGATACAACACACTTTCACTCTGAAGATGACTACTGCACAGTTTGTCGAAACGTCAGTCACTGCCAACAACAACAGTCTTATTCAGGACTACGTTCACCCGGATGATCAGGCTCAACCTACTTATGAAATGACTCCTGGCTTCAAACCTTTCACAACAGACATTTTTTATTGAGAAAATAAAGTGCACCTGTTTACTGCATGTGACGGGAGAGAATTGAGAAGACTTTGATGTTGCTTGATTCATAGAATGTTTTTCTTCTCCGCTAGGTGCATTAAAAATCAAAGATTCCGCTACAAAAGTGATTCAATTGCCCTATCCTCAATCTCGTACCCAGAGCCTTCTGGCTTTTTGGTCAGCGGGGTAACGCTAAAGAAGACGCTGGGGACATCAAATCTCGACCGCAGAAATCCAAAAAATAGATAGAGCGTTTTTACATGACGTCACGGCGGCCATATTGGTGTTCCAAAACAATGAAACGGCTACCATGTTGGTGTTCCAAACCAATCCGGTGGGAATTGAACTCTTTTCTCATGCAAACGCTTTCTTTTGTTCCAATAAATTTGCATAGATGCTGAACACGTGATTGAAGACTCTGAGTACGAGATTGCCCCACCCTGGGCTAAAAATTGCAGCAAATGTCCGCAAATCCGGCGCCATGCCCGCTTATGTTTCTGGGGTCGGTATTGAATTCACTGTATCGGAGCCTTGAAAATGAGCAACGACAACATGGTGCAGCACGTATTTTTAAATTGTACTTGAAGACATTTTGCCATCTGGGGATTATGATAAGTTGATAATGCTGGCGGGTTATGATAAGTTGATAATGCTGGCGTTATAGTGCAATGATTTTATAACAAACCCACAACCACCTTTATTGTATGCTGGTTGAGAGATGTGCCCGCAAGATTGCTGGGAATTACCGGGATGTGAGCGTGCGTTTAACTTTTCGAATCGGCTATTTTTTGTGTTTATTCTTATTAGCAACTGGGGGTCTCGGGCCGGGTGAGTGGACGGAAATTAGATTTGCACCACATTTGCCCAGGGTAAATATGTTGCCAAAAAATGCGGGCTACAGTTTTTCTCCTGCTACTTGGGGTCTCTAACTGATCATGTTATGTTTCATTTCACTAGGACCAGTAGACTCTTAGTTTATGATTATCTTAGTGAAGTCGGTAGAGTACCTAAGTCAGCTAGACAGAAGCAACCGCACTTGAAGTTTATTTATATGTAGAACCTCTCGAACCGGTGACTTAAATTTCACGTTGTTGCAAAGAAGTGTGTCTAAAATTTGATGTATTGAGGTGTTTTACCAAAAATTTTCTCTTTTCCTCGCTCTGGATAATCCATATTGCCCGAATTTTTTTAATACCAACCATATTGCAGAGGGACTAAGTTGGTGTAGCAAAATTTCTACCAGTGTAATTATCTTACGATTTACGTTCGCATTTTCTGCTATTGTCGTTTGATCCCTGTTTCCTAACTAAATGTAAGTCTACCACAAAATATTTCATTAATCCGCCTCTCTATTCACTGACCTGTATTCCTCTATATAGTGCTCCATCTTCATAAGTGAAATTCTGGTGGCCTACAACTCTATCTCCGTGATTAAGCTGACAAACGGACATCTCCATGCCTGGGATCGGAACTAAATTGTAGGATAAACATCGGCTATCAGTCACACATTCAATTTGACAAAATATTTCTGATGTCACATTCAACTCTTTGACGAAGCTTCCGTTGAGTCTTCGCCCGTCAATCTTTTTTGCGAAATTACGGAACTTTAAGTCTGGATATGATAAGAATTCTTAGATTCATGGAGCGCAATACTTGCAGAGGATGTTAATATAACTAGCCACAAGCCCACCATTTTCTCTGTGGTTTGAAACATTATCAATAGACTGAAAAAGGCCTCTGTTGCGAGTGAAAGAAATTCGGCTTGATCTGATGAATAATTCAAAAGCAGCAGAATAAAGATCCCCATCGTAATTATGTTTACGCACATACCATGGTTACCTTTCGTTATCATTCATGCCTAAAATTCCGCTGAACATTACTTATCCGCAGTCAGCCTTCAGTCTGCATTAAAAGGTAACTGACAGACCCAATTCTTGAGCTTGATCTTCCCTAATGTTGCCACCTAAACATCCCAGGCGTCACAATTCCATATAAATGTCTAACATTATTATGGCAAGTTTTGTTGTTTTTTTTTTTATTATTAACTGAAAACAATTTTTTCATTGAAGATCTCACAGCAGGATATACCGTAATTTACAAAGTTTAACTCAAAACACAAGAACAAGTGATGGAACACCTTTTTAAAATGCTATAAATAAGGCTGTTATAAGGTTTGAATCTTCGGATAAAATGAGAATTTCTATTATTCTGTTGTCTTGTCGCTTGTGTGTTTAATTAAGCGGCAAGACATATACCAAGTAAAGGTAAATATTTAAAACACGAGAATACAGGTGAAAAGATAAAACAGAGGAAAGCAAGGGGAAACTGGACAGAAAATAAAAGGAAACGAGGCCAGAGGGCAGCAGGGGCTAGGGGCACCCAACGACTGTTTTCTGTTAAATATACCTGTTGGGAGATGCAAATGAAAATCTGATGAAAATCACCACCACCTTCGATGCTGCAATGTTAAACGCAGTATGAAATTCGCGAAAACAACGTCCCTTTCACGGTCGCCATACCCTAAAACCCCTACCCTGCTTTCTCTTGTTCCATTTTGGGGTACTCGAGAAAGATTCTGCAGGAATCGAATAAGACCTTTGTTGAGCATGCACTACATGTTGCCAAAAGACAGTTTAAAACAAGGCCAGTAAGTGATTGCTGTGTGCTTGGTAAAGTGGGCTCACTTAGAACCAGCGCTTTCTCGCACTCGAAAAACCAGTTTGACGAGAGAAAACAAGATTGACTAATAACTACCCCAAAATGCTAGCAAGCTCTCCATTTATGGTGAGCGAAACATGCTCTCAAGTGACTTCTCTCGACTCCCCCAAATGGAGAGCTTGCTCGCAGGCTTGACGCGATTCAGGCAGAGTCTTCTTTTCTCCTCCTCGATCGAAAAGAAGACAAAAGGAGACCTGTTTTTTAAAAAATAAAGTCTCGTTTTGTCTACATTGCCTTCTATATTTTAAAGTGTATCTCTGAAAGAGAATCACCCTGTGCAAAGGATGAGATATGCGTTCCCGACTACGAAGATGATGCCAAGCATTTCTGTAAATGTATAGGTTCAGGTAAGGCGTCCTTTAAAATCTTGATTTCACATCTTCATTTTCTTCAGTTTGATTGAGCGAGCCAGTGAAAACTCTATTTACCCATGGTAGTTTTATCAAATAACTTTGAAATAAAGTATCTGTTCTTCTTAAAAGCCCATGCTTAACAAATTAAAATACATGAAAATATTTCTACATCTAACATCTACATCCCCTTTGAACGTTACTTCACTGAAGTGATCCTTCCTGATAACATAGGATGACTTTCGCGATCCCCCACCCATGTCTTTATTTTCCAAGGAAATTTGAGTGGTTCCCCCTCTCACACCTTCCCAAGTTTTCCTTTATCGCCCCCCTTTGGTTCTCTCTTTTGACTTCTCGCCTCTCTTTTTTTTCTTCCTTTTCAATGACAGCGCCAATCACTGCTCCCCTCCGCCAGCCTCACCCTCCCCTACAGTTCAGCCATCCTCCCCCCCCCCCCCCAACGCGATAAATAATGACCGGTCCCTAATTGTACAGATTTGAGTCAACGTTAAAAATCTCACATGCGTAAGAAGGACAAGGGTCATTTTTTTGTTAAACATCATTACAGCCATATGATGTTGTGTCATTTTGGCTAGCAAAAAGTTTGTGTCCCTCTAAAATGGTGTTTCGGGTAACGAAAACGGTGCCACAGTAGAGCCTGCGTAGCAGTCGTTTTCGTTCTGTAGTCATTTGCGGTGTTGTTATTAAGGTCAGTAATACTACCGCAAGAGCCATGGACCAAATCCGTTCAGTTGCCGGGTAATTAAAATGGGAAATCTGTTGCTGACTTCAGCAACTCCTTTTTTTTTATATGCAGAATGCTTTCGCCCAAGACATTGTCAAGACCTTTACTTAAAGGGTTCTATGACTGGAGTGTACTTGGTTTGATAACGGAGAACCCATTCAAGTGCTGTGTGACATGACAACTGAGGGCGGTGGATGGACAGTCTTTCAAACACGAATGGATGGATCAGTGTTCTTCTACTTGGGATGGGAAGAATACAGAGTGGGATTTGGAAATTTGAACGGGGAGTTCTGGTTAGGGAATGATAATCTTCACTGTCTAACTGCAAATGCTACTATGATGCTCCGAGTTGATTTGGAGGATTACGATGGTGTCCGAAAATATGCCCAGTACACGACATTCACTGTAGCTGACGCGGACGACAACTATCGACTGACGATTGACGGATATAATGGCACCGCGGGTGACTCGATGGTCGTGTGTGATAGGCCAGCTAAGTACGTACGCAGGAAAAAGGATACAGGTTAAATCGTTCAACAGCCATTAAGCTTCGTAACAGAAGGTGAAAAAAAGCATTTTTGCCGGTCGGTTGGTATTTTAGTGTTGAGTAATAGATGTCTCCTGCCTTTCTTCTCCAAGATCACGTACTCTAAAAATCTGCACTCTCTAGAAAAAACATTAATGCCACTGAAATTTCCAATCGGAATTTCCGGTTTTCCCTTATAGAGTATAAGTACCCCGACTGAGTGTTGATCCGGCCAGGAATCGGACCCGGGCCAGTCAAGTGCCCAATCGATTGTCCAAAACAAGTCGATTTTTTGCTTTCAAAAAGAATCAAATTTAAACTTGAAAACGCCTTTTTTAGTTTACTACGAGTCTTCTTGAATAATGGAAAGTGAGTTTGATCAACCACAATAAATAATTGTCACAATAAAGATCAATTCTAAGAGATCCAAAGATGGGAGGTGTGCCTACAAAAATACTGGGTCGAGCCACCTTAGGGCCTGTTAACATGGAGTGGGGGACCTCGGTCTAGTAGGGTTGGTTTCTTTTGTTTTCACGCTCTGGGGGAACACAAAACAAAAGAAACCTACCCCACTAGACCGGGGTCCCCCACTCCATGTAAACAGGGTCTTAGTATCGCGGTTGTTTTTGTTGCAAGGAGAATTGTCTTTCACCCATAATCTTTGCTTCTTTAGAAACATGATGTTTACGACGCAGGATAAAGACAATGATGTGTATTCCATAAAAAATTGTGCGGTTGAGTTCAAAGGAGGATGGTGGTACAATAAGTGCCATTGCTCTAATCTCAATGGTTTGTACCAAGGAGGCTCTCACCCACATGGCGTCGTGTGGCATTCATTTAGTAGCCAGTGGCATTCCCTGAAACACGTGGAGATGAAATTTCGACCTAATTGAGACTCAAGTACAAGCAAGAAACCTTCGAAACTGACTAGACTCGTCACAAATCGTCCTCACGAAGGACGTTTTTGAAAGTCTAGAAACTGACTAAGGCCTATTGATTCTTCCGCACCCATTAGGTCTAAATTCTTCCAACTATCAATGCCGACCAAATCATGAGTTTTTTTTACAAGCGTTTATCTCACGGTCTTTTGTCTTGTCTGGGTTTTCCCCACCACTCACTATTTTGATCCTTTTATGCAATAGTATGTCACAAATTTGCACAATTTCGAGATAACTGGCATTTTTAAAATTTTACGTGGTAATTTCGTTACGACATTTTCGAGCTTAGTCTTGGCAAGAAATTACAATAAATTCCCTATGAATTTCGGAAGTTAAATTTTTCACATTTTACTTCCCAAGTTAGGCTATTTTTGGTAGAAAAAAGGAAACCTAAAGTTTTCGGATTCAAAAATGTGGAGAGGGGAAACAGAAAAATTGTCAGTTTCGTAATACGTTAAATTCAGTGTACATTGTATCTAAAATTTTAGGGAAAATAATACAGAAGCGGTTGCCTCAAGTTCCTATTAGATGACCAAACAGATACAAATTTTATAGCTCCGCTTAGAATGCAGTTCTGAGAGATCTAAAAGTACTCTGGATACCCTAGATAGTGTTTTCAATGCCATTATATTAGGAGGAAATCGTGGTTGGGTGCACCTGAAATTTAAGTAACAAAATCAATTTTTTGTCCGCTGCTGTTGTCACATTCACGGGGGAAGTGGCCCTGACCTTTTTCACGTGACTGAACGCATGTGCATTAGCTTGGCTACCCAAGATGGAGCGCGTGTTGGTTAGCAATTGTTTGAGTTTTTATAGTTGTCAGACAGTTTTGTTGTTTCAATGGTTTACCTTTCTACATTCTTCAATCACTGCAAACACTTTTTACAATGAATTATTTACTAGTAAAGTTTCTAGGTGTAACCAGGGTAGATTTGTTTGCCATTTACTTGCTTGTTGCTTAGTTATTGAGGTGTTTTGACCAAAATTATTTAAGTAAAAAGCAGAAGCAAAATTTCCGCATTTTTTACTAAAACAGGCATAATTTACAAAAACTAGCATAATTACTGGCATCATTTAAGAAAAACTACTTTTGAAAGCACAATCTATCAAAGCCTAAAGGTAAGTTGTTAGTTCAAACGTATTTCTTGATTGCGGTAGCCTGTGTAGCTGGCGGGATTAGTAGGCGAGTGCTGTAGTATTTTTGTGGCGGATCCGTGTGAAGATTGGGAGCAAGTCAAATTAAAATCTCTCGCAGCTTCGCCGCTCTCGCTTCGCGTGGCGGCTCCGCTGCTCTCGCTTCGCGTGGCGGCTCCGCTGCTCTCGCTTCGCGTGGCGGCTCCGCTGCCAAGAAAGTAACCCCGAGCACAACAATCCCGCCAGTTACGCCGGCTCTAATTCTGGCTGAGATGAAATTGTACATCTTCTTTGATTTGAGAGTTATTTCATCAACAGTACTTGTTTTTGTTGATCAAGTTAACGAGGCTTAGAGCCAAGACTAAAATTATACTATTTAGTACCGGATTCAGACCTTGAGATAAGGCGGGGGGGGGAGGGGGGGGGGGGGGGGGGGGGGGGGGGGGGGAGGGGTTGAGGGGCTTTGGGTTTGCTCAGTCTCCAAAAAAAATTTTTCGGCCCTTCGGGCCTCAGTTTGGTCTAAAAATAAGTGAGGGGGCGGGAACCCCAGGCCCCTCCCCTGAATCCGCCATTGCTATTTAGTCTTAAAATAAAACATTCTATAAACTGATTTGCAGGCCCACTGAGTCTCTTATAAATCCAGTCTAAGTTAGACTCCCATGATTTTTGCAGAATACGATACTAACGCAGCAAAAAATAAAACAACAACAACAACAAAAAAAAACAAAAAAAAAAATGAAAATAATGAAAAAAAAAAAAAAAAAAAGGAGAAAGGGTTTTCAACACAATTTTAATTTACAACTGTTGGGGTTTAGAATTGAAAAAGGGTGGAATCTGATCTTTATTAAGGGTAGTTTACTATTTTTAAAATGGGAACGGCACGAAAATGGAAGGAAAAGAGTAAAAACAAAAGAAGAAGAAAATAACATTCTAAAAACTGATGTGCAGGCCCACTGAGTCTTTTAAAAATCCAGTCAAAGTTAAACTCCCATGATTTTTGAAAAAAAAGAAACAAACGAAAAAAAAAAAAAAACAAAAACAAAAAAAAAAAAAAAAAAAAAAAAAAATGATAATAATGAAAAAAAAAAAAAAACAAAGGCGTAAGGGGTTTCCACACCATTTTAATTTACCACTGTTGAGGTATAGAATTGCAAAAGGTGTGCATCTGATCTTTCTTTAGGGTTGTTTCCTATTTTTGAACTGGTGACGGCTCTGAAAGTGAAGGTCAAGCGAAACAAAAAGAGAAGAAGAAAAATATTTATGGGCCCTTGCACTAAGCCAGCGTATAATGGAAAGGGTTTTCATTTTCTAGTCTTCCTTAAAACGAACGAATTTTTTATAAACTCTAGTTTCTTTCGGTTGTTTGTTTGGCCTGTTTGCCACTTTGAGCCACGTTACAGCAATGAAAGAAAAAGCCAAAGCGAAACAAAAAACGTGCCACAACTCATCACGAAAAGCCCTACAAAATTAAAGCATCTGCTTAGCGCTATAATCACCTTGAGTTAGTAATCAACATGCGCTATTTCCAATCAGCTATTTTTCTACCACAGACAAGTTACACTTTAATTTTATCCCGTGTTTAAAAATAAAAGATTTCCCCCTGTATATCGTTTTGTGTAGTTTTCCATTTTATTTCTGGTTTCCTTTCTACGTAAATCAAAATAAGTCAATGAAACTGAAAAAATATGAAATAGGCTTCTCAATGTACAGAAATAGCCCTATGATAACGCAGATAGACTTTCAGTATCTCAGTATATTAAGAACAAGTTTCAATCGAGCTTTACTTACAGGAAAGAAGGTGTTTTGGTAAGTACTACTAACGCTGTCTTTACTTTTGTTTTACTAGAACCGTTATTTTGTTTCGTTCCGTGACAGAGTATCGCAACAAAATATCAACAAATTGGATGCAGGGCTGAGTTCTTGTAGCCTACGCAGCTGGCGGGATTGAGGTACCTTCTTAGTGGCGGGGCTGCGACGCAAAGCGAGTTCCGAGGCCGCGCGCGGGGGAAATTCCCTCTCAATCTTCTCGCGGGTCCCCCGCCAGAAAACTACACCACTCGCGCGCTACTCCCGCCAGCCCTGCTTGAGTTCACGTGTTGAGTAATTTTTTCTTTGAACCCATCGAGATGGGTGTTGTAGTGTTTCCCTTGATGAGAAAATGATGAAGTATGTTACGTTTACAAATTTTTCTGACATATTTTAAAATATTTTAAAAATATCTCTCTATCTCTACTTAACGTGCAGTCAGATAAAAATGAATTGTAATCGACTCGCGTTCCGGAAGATTTTAGACAATTTTAAAAACAAGAACCTTTCTTAATTTTATCCGTTTTACACTGACACTCCAGGGCCTTTTTGCTTTCCATTAAGCCACTGTCTTTGATAAGGTTTTTGTCAATGAAATTATACAAGATTTTATGGAACAGCCTGCCGCAAAACATGGTTGAGTTGCTATCACTGGCTTCTTTCAAGGACCGGTTGGCTAAACATTTTCGAAACCGAAAAATGAATTTTTTTATGGGATTTTGAAATGTTTATTATGGAAACCCTGACCACTTGGAAGAATTTTCTTTATGGAGCAGGGTAATGGAAAGAAAGAAATAGAGGATATCACATGACCGCGGGAAGGTACGAAGTTTCTCTTCGAGTTGTTGAAAAACACTTCACGAGTGAGCGTAGCGAACGAGTGAAATATATTTTCAACAAGAGAAGAGAAATTTCACGGTTTGGTATTTCATTGATGTTTATACAATAAATAGAACTGTAAACGAAAAACGAAATTAAACCATTAAACGAAATTTCTCTTCTCTTGTTGAAAAAATATTTCACTCGTTCGCTACTCCCACTCGTGAAATATTTTTCAACACTCGAAGAGAAATTTTGTATCTCCGCGCGGCCAAGTAATATCCTCTACTTAACTCACCCACAGAGCAATATCAAGATCCAGATCTTAGACGTGCCTGATAGTTTGTGATACGCTGTTCCCTGCTAGCAGATTCTCCTTTTCGGTTAATTCTGCTAGTAGGGAAGACAGACTGCTACACTGACGAGAGGTTTTTAAAAAGATCAGCTGCTATAGTGACCACTTCTGGTAAGTCATATTGAATCAGACATTACTCGTAGTCTAATGCAGGCAAGTCATTTGTAAAGGCTTTTAGTTCCGTATTAAAGGATGAATTTTCTTCATTCTTTATTCTTCATCACCCCTCTGCCAAAAGTTTACCCCCTCTTTGTCGGAAGGGTGGGGTAAAAATTTACAAAGCGTTAAGCTTGAATGAAAGACCAGGTAGAAAAAAAAAGAATCCATCTCGATTGCTCCAGAAAAATGCAAAACATTTACCACTTCTTCAAACGCATGACGATGGAACAAGAAAATGGCTGAAAGAATTGCCTCTACAGGTCAGGAAACAGATTGCAACTAACTTAAGGCTTTTAATCCTTGACGATTTGACTTGTCTGCCCCTCAGACTTTAATAAACGTGAGATAAATCATGAACAGACACGACTCAAGGTGCCATGATCGGTGAATATCCGACGCGGCGAGATTTCTTTAGTTTCTAGCCCAAACAACCATTTTGTCAATAGCTTAATGGTCCCCGTTCCCCTTCGTTTTGCGTCGAATTGCCGCCGGCCTATATGGGGTTAGCCTTACATGAAATGGCCGGGGGATATGTGCTCTTGAAATTGAGTGATGCATCCTCGTATGTTATTTCTTTAATTTTGTTAAGTGGTGAACGTTTTAGTAAATTAACGCTTTTCATAAAAATACACTTATCTGTATTAAACTTGCTCCGCGCAAATCCAACTTTTAGTAAAAGTGCTTCACTTTGGTTGCGGTCAACACCTATGACCTATGTAAGTATCTAATTATTAAGAAGAGGTATACCTAGTATGGCGCATTGGTGCTTTTGGTTGTCTCCTTCTCCACAACTTTTTTTTTTCTTTTTTTGTTTGTTTGTTAAAGTAGTGTTAGCTTATTTCATTTAATTATTTGCTTGTTATGCAGTGGAGTGAATCTGTAATAAATAAATAAATAAATAAATAAATAAAGCGGATCGATCTTACCCGATATTTGCTTTTGACGCTAATATCGTTTTGAGCCTTCGTTAACCTTGTCCGGAGGAACCGGAAACGGACGCTCTGGAGGAATCCAAAACCGCAAAATCCTTGTTCCAGTTTAATTGCGCCTGCGTGAAGTGCAGTTGTTTACCTTTCTGACCAAGGGGCGTTCTCGAAGGAATTTTTCACAAAACCACGCTTCATTCGCGTGTTCTTTCTACAGCAGTTTTCTTTACTTTACCTTCAATTGAAGCGTTTAGGAAAGGAAGGAAGCTAAAACGACTGTAGAGGGAGACCGAAAATTCCAAAAATATCTTTAAAACGCGGCTACAAGAGTCCATTGTACACCAACAACTGTAACATTCGTTATATTGTGTTTCCAACAACTGAAACATTCGTAAATCATGACGGCACACATTCTTTCGCGCTCGTTCCACGGCTAAAAAGAAGGAGCACAGCTCGTGTCAAGTTGGTAAATTAGGAAGCTCACACGTCCACCCAGGAAAGTAAAATGAAGAAGATAATGACCTTTTCAGTCACTTGTAAGCATAAGATCTCTATAAGAATAAGATCTCTATAAAAAATGGCAAAATAACGACTTAAGAAGCTATGTCAGCTTTGGTATTACACCCTAAAACACTTGGGAATAAAAGAAAGCCTTGAAATAATGGTTCAGTTTAATTAAAAATTACTCGACTACTTTGCCTTAACTATAACTTAACTTCTATCGAAAGCCAGGATAGAAACAGATTGCAACTTGAAAATTGTGGGATTATGACCAAAAACTATGATTTCCTAGTTTTCCCTTTCGATAAAATCATTTTATATCTTTCTTTTAGAGTTCCAAGTACGACGGAAAGATAACTGAGACAGAGAATACTTAGTTATCTCTAGTAATATCAAATCTCAGCTCAGCTTTGACCAAAAAAAGAGGAACCAATAATGACATACTCACTTAAAAATCAAGACGAGGGGACTTTTTTAACCATATGCCACTGTAGCGTGGTCTCGCAACTGCTTTATTTTGTTTATAAGACAAACTGTTTCCTTAACAGTTTCAAGTCGCATCTGATTGGTGATTACATAAATAGCATGTCTAAATCAAAACAAAGTGTTAACGGTGTTTTGATTTGCAGGTTAATTTGCATATCATGAAAACATTTTTATCACAAAATCAGAGATGGCTTTTTCAAGATTTGGTTTTTTATTACTCTAGAGGTCTGTGATGTTTAGTGGTAACCAAAAGGATCGCAGAAAACGCGAGAATTTTGACGCAATCTCGTCTTCTGGCCTGGCTTTTTTTCAGCAACGCTGACCAAAAAACCAGAAGACTGATTTTGATGCAATTTTAATTACCAACTTGCACAGAAATGATTTTGTAAAGTTTGAAAATAGATAGCTCTTTATTGTTTAGTTTAGGTAAAAAAAAACACTGCAAAAACCGTGTACGAACAATCTTGCTCAACGTCGGATTAAAAAAGATCGTGATCAGTCAAAATATATAAATTAAAACGTTACAGTCAAGAAGACTTTTGCAGGGACTGATCAAACAACGTGAAATAGAGTTAAGTTAATAGAGTTAAGCTCTCTATTATCGTTATCTCTATTGTAAATAGCTATATTGTGGGTGTGGGTTTCTTTTAATTTGTATTTTTGCGTTTTAGAGGGCCACAAGTTTGTCAGTAATTTTTAGTTACATTTACGAGTTACCCTCTCAAAATAAAGTCTTTGCTACTTACTTACCTACCTACCCACCCATTCACCTACCTACCTACCCACCCACCTACCCACCCACCCACCAACCTACCCACCCACCCACCAACCTACCAAACAACCAACCACCTACCTACCCACCCACCTACCTATCTACCTACCTAACAAATCACCCATCCAACCACCCACCCACCCACCTACCTACCTACCAGTGATGACGTAGCAATAGTAAATTAACATCTCCCCCAGGGCCTCTCTTGTTCCCGTCCCTTGTAGGGCGAGTGGGGCTTTTTTTAAGGCCCCGTCCACAAGTATCCGATATTTTTGAGTCTGCAACGTTTTCCTTGCGGATTCAAAAATTTTCACGTCCACACGCAGTGTTCAAGTCGAATTTGCTCGTCCACACGTATCTGGATTCAGACTCAGCTCGTCGGCTAATTTGGGCCGGAAAACAACATTCTTGTTAAAGAAAAGAGTGTAATTGATTTTTTTGCCCGTTTAATTTCAGCCAGAGTAGACTGAATTAAATAGACCGTCGTTCACTCAAAGGGACACAACATGTCGATAAATATGTAAGTATCTAGGAGTGTCTCATACAGTTATTTTGACTAGAAAACTATTATGTGTGAACCCCAAGATAGGGTATAGTTATTAGTCTCGCTTATTTTACTAGCGAGACTCTAAAAATGCAAGCGTTTCTTTCCTTCTTTTTTGCTTGTGTGCGCGCCATGAGGGGAATCATGGTCCCTGGCGTTACCAGCGGAGACCGTGGAAACTGAGGATAAGAATCGCGACTTGTCGCACTTGCATTGTATGCAAATGAGTCTTGTGATGAACATGCGTGGTGTATTTTCGGCAATGATTGAAATGACGCAACATATTCATCACGTTTTTGTTTTCTGGCAATGACGTAATTTATCTCGAATCGAGGCCCTTGATTTTCGCGTATGCATACACGCATACTCAGTCAATTCAGAAACAAATCGTCGAATACGATATTAAAAGTAAATATTCTGAATACTCGACCGTCGATAAAGTAGGACGTGAAAGACTTTTAGCGAAGAATTTCTGGTTCGTGTAGAATTAATCGCCTAATCATTTCTTATCTAATCTCTAAGCATGCGAGACTTAACACTTTTTGCGTTCTTTTTCATTTTGATTGTTACCTGTCACCGCATCACGGTATCCTAAGTTATGAAAGTAAATCCGTGACTACCAACGTAATGGGTACAGAGTGAGGCTAATAGCACTTTAGTAAAATCCAACTAGTGGTCTATTATCAATGCTGCATTCTGATTGGTTGAGCTACTACAAGGCTATAAGTTATAGCCCACCAGTAGCGAAAAGCGCCAGTTTTTTTTTAAAGTCTAGCTTTAACTAGCTAAAAATTTTTTATTCTCAATATTTTTGACCAACTAATTAGCCTCATGGGCTATTGTTAAATATGACATGAATGATGACATAACATCATTCGTTAAGATATCAAGGTACCAAGACAATTTCTGAGATATGAAATCTCTACAGAAATTTACTTAGGGTGATATTATTATATCACAGCATCTACAGAAGAGTTCGATGACAAGGGATATAAAAGCACCTAAATTTTCAAACCAGTCTTTCTAAGCAAACCTGTCATTCTATACTTTCCGACTATCTGAAGTCCTTTGTTCCTGGTCTGAGAAGATGGTTTATTTTTTAAGAAAATCATAAACTTTTCTAGGCGGGATCAGAGAAGGCAGAAATCAGTTTCTTTTTCCTTAATCAGTTTCTTTTGTGCTCTGCGAATGCTTTAAAATTTTACTAATCAATTATCAGGAGACACGAGACGGGAAAACAAAAGAAGAAATTTCTGATATTTCTGAAAGTTACGATTGATCGAAAAAACCTTCGGTATTTGTTTTTGTTGCTTCTACAACATCAGTGACAGCTTACAGCGTTACCCTCACCGTCGTTCAAAAGTTTTCTTTTTTTTATCTTCTCTGCGGCATCAAACGAGAAGAATACAACAACAAAAACAACTTAATTTGTACTCTACATTAATTTACAGTGATATAAAAAAATACTATAAAATCTAGAGGGATTACAGGCTGCCCATAATGACTATTTAGGGCTAAAAAGATAGGGCAGCCTTACTTAGGTTATTAATGAATGATTATATTAAGGGTCAGGTACCACAAAAAAGAAAAGAGAAAGAAAAACAGAAAAAGAAAACTAAGTGTGCCAGTATTAAGCAACGGAGGATAACCTAGTATTATATGTATGTATGTTCCTAACAGGATTAAAAAAAGTTATTAAAAACGGACGGTAAAAGTTGGTTATGGAACTTATACATAAACACTGCAAGTTGGAGGGTAATGATATCAGACAGCTTTATAACATTCAAGTCTTTAAAACCTCGATTTAGGTCATGGCAAGTTTATGGTTTAATTTTTATCTCAAAAAGGGAATTAAATTTTATCATTTTCTTCCAACATCATGTGTGAATTTTTAAGATGAACCCACAAAAGCCAGCCATCCAATTTGATAGTCTTTTTTGTCGCTACATCTTTAGAAAAAAGAGGAACAATATCAGCCTAGTCCCCAGGCCTTCTCCGTTCAGTCAAACTTGGACCGTACGTGACGTCAATGAAAGAGACTAGAACAGACCGATTCCCAGACTTTGTTCGGACAACGAGGCAAGAGAGAATGCCTGGGGACTACACTGGGGTGGAATAACTAATAGTATAGCGCGTGGGATTATGGGAACTTCATGACCTGCGATATACAGCATAAAGTATAAATTCAAAAACATGGGGCCGAGGCTTATGGTTTGCCATCTGTATAGAACTGACGAACTGTTCATTGAGTACAAAACTTTAAGACTAGAGCATTTGGTGTTCTGTTCTCACTAGCAAACATGGTAACATATTCGAAACAATTAACAGAAGATTGTAATCCGTTTTGAGTAAAAAAATGACATAATCTTGAACTATTACCATTACAAATAATGTACGATGTGCGGGGGTTTGATTATTCTCAAGAACGATTGGTGGATTTTGTGACTAAATCTTCTTCTCGTTATATTGTTTTTTCTGCTTTATTTTCTTAGAGAGGTTGATATGGACAACAAAGACGAAGTTCTGCTGACAAGTCTTCTTTTCGTTTCCCTATATCTTCGCAAGACAAATCGGGTTCCAAACGCTATCGAGATGTGTAAAGACATTTTGTTTCTTCTCGAGCATAAGACACTGGGAAATATAGACGAAAAGTATATCAAAAGTTTTGAGAATGTTCACAGTCACCTAATAAAATATGCCACAAAACTTCTCTTCACTTTTCGACAAGTTTTCGAGAGAAAAATGGAACTAAGCACAACCTGTATACTGGCAGAATTATACGAAAGTCAACGTAAATACAATGAAGCAAAAGGGCTTCAGTTCAAAGCACTTGAAAAGGCAGAGAAAATTGGCTGCAGGAAAACAGAAGCCTGATGCTATATAAACCTAGGACATATCTTTGCTTCACTTAGTGAATATGTCAAGGCTCAAGAACATTCCGAAAAAGGACTTGCAATCGCAGAGAAAATTGCAGGCTACAGGAAAACAGAAGCCTATTGCTATATAAACCTAGGACGTATCTTTGCTTCACTTAGTGAATATGTCAAGGCAAAAGAACATTCCGCAAAAGCACTTGCAATCGCAGAGAAAATTGGCGACAGGGAAACAGAAGCCAAATGCTATGCAAGCCTAGGATCTATCTTTAAGGATCTCGGTGAATATGTCAAGGCTAAAGAACATTTGGAAAAAGGACTTGCAATCGCAGAGAAAATTGGCGACAGGGAAACAGAAGCCAAATGCTATGCAAGCCTAGGACATATCTTTGCTTCACTTAGTGAATATGTCAAGGCTAAAGAACATTACGAAAAAGGACTTGCAATCGCAGAGAAAATTGGCGACAGGGAAACAGAAGCCAAATGCTATTTAAACCTAGGACATATCTTTGCTTCACTTAGTGAATATGTCAAGGCTAAAGAACATACCGAAAAAGGACTTGCAATCGCAGAGAAAATTGGCGACAGGGGAACAGAAGCCAAATGCTATGTAAACCTAGGAAAAATCTTTGCTTCATTTTGTGAATATGTCAAGGCTAAAGAACATTCCGAAAAAGGACTTGCAATCGCAGAGAAAATTGGCGACAGGGAAACAGAAGCCAAATTCTATTTAAACCTAGGAAAAATCTTTGTTTCACTTAGTGAATATGTCAAGGCTAAAGAACATTACAAAAAAGGACTTGCAATCGCAGAGAAAATTGGCGACAGAGGAATAGAAGCCGAATGCTATGTAAACCTAGGACGTATCTTTGCTTCACTTAGTGAATATGTCAAGGCTCAAGAACATTCCGAAAAAGGACTTGCAATCGCAGAGAAAATTGGGGACAGGGAAAGAGAAGCCAAATGCTATTTAAACCTAGGACATATCTTTACTTCACTTAGTGAATATGTCAAGGCTCAAGAACATTCCGAAAAAGGACTTGCAATCGCAGAGAAAATTGGCGACAGGGAAATAGAAGTCCAATGCTATACAAACCTAGGAAGGCTGTTTTCTTCGCTCGGTGAATATGTCAAGGCTAAAGAATGCCTCGAAAAAGCCCTTGTATTGGAGGGAAAGCATGGGAACATCGAAAACGAGTCACGTTGTCACTTTCTTCTTTCAGTTTGTTTTTTTTTAGAAGGCAACACAGCTGAAGGTAAATCAAATGCCTTTGCCTGTTTGAATAAGTTAGAAGGTATTCGACGTCTCCAAGTGCATGATAAATTCAAGATATCTTATTTTGACCGAAATGTTCATAACTACCGACTGCTCAGTCAATTTCTTTGTGCTAACTTCCCAAACGAAGCTTTTAACATAGAAGAATTTGGGCGAGCTAGGGCCCTTACAGACTTAATGTCAGCTCGGTACTCTGTAGAAAACGAAATACCAGTCAGTCTACAAACATGGTATGATGTTGAAAGTATCGTCAAGAAAGAATCCAACTGTGCTTGTCTTTACATTTCATACTTAGGACAACTGATAAATTTGTGGGTTGTTCAAGCAGAAAACCCTTTAATTTTCCGGCAAATAAAGGTAAATGATGTTTTTGGATCAGGAAGCAGAGTGGCTGACTTGCTTTGTCGCGAAATTTACAGAGAAGTACTTTTTTTAGCCCCTGAACAGTGCGAGGATCGATCCTGGCTTCCCTCAAACGCTTACTCGGAGCAGGGGTGTGAACGTCCAATTGTAGAAGATGAGAATGAAAACCAGCAACCCGAGCTTACTCCTGCTTATGTCTACAAAATGATCATTGCTCCTGTAGCCGACTATCTTAATGAGCCTGAAATCATCATTGTTCCTGATCGCCTCTTTTACAAAGTTCCATTTGCAGCGCTAGAAGAAGAAAGTGGAAAGTATTTATCAGAGTCTTTCAGGATCCGCATCGTTCCCTCTTTGGCGACTCTAAAGCTTATTCAGGACAGTCCGCCAGACTATCACAGTCAGACTGGTGTACTGATAGTGGGGGACCCTCATGTTGGTGACGTGTTGTACAAGGGAATTCTTCGGCAGATATCGAGGCTGTCTTTTGCAAATATGGAAGCAAAGATGATTGGAAAACTGTTCGGTACTCAACCTCTGCTCGGAAAACAAGCTACAAAGCAGGCGGTCCTTCAAAACATTCATTCTGTGTCTCTGATACATTTTGCTTGTCACGGTAATGCTGAAAGAGGTGAAATTCTTCTTGCTCCTCCACCCCTCACTGATAGGAGACCTCAAGAAGAAGACTACTTATTGACTATGGAGAACATTTCGAAAGTTCAACTGCGAGCCAAACTGGTGGTCCTTAGCTGCTGTCACAGTGCAAAAGGACAGATCAGTGCCGAGGGAGTTGTTGGAATTGCTCGCGCGTTTTTAGGATCCGGTGCACGCTCAGTGTTGGCGGCACTGTGGGCCATAGAAGACGAAGCAACAGAGCAGTTCATGAGTCATTTCTATGAGAGTCTTGTTCGTGGGAAAAGCGCCAGTGAATCCCTTCAACAGGCCATGAAGTGGATGAGAGAAAACGGTTTTTCCGAGGTGACGCAGTGGGCGCCATTTATGCTTATTGGAGACAACGTGACGTTGGATATTCGCAAGTTGAGGTCATGGAAAGGACAGTAGAAGCGATGGTCCTTTTCCCCAACTCCCTAGTGTTTGTCCTTGCAAATACAGGATTAAATTCGAATTTTTGTTAATTAAATAATAAACGTGGGACTGATTTGTTCAGTACAACAGTAAAAATGTCAAATATATACTAGGTTTAAATAACTGAGTTTCTGATACCTAAATACAATAAGAGAAGCATTTTGAAATAACCCACATACAGTTGTCAGTTATGATAACTTTTCAACTCAAGTTCATTTGAGGTTATTTGTTACAATGATTTTTAATACCTTTTAGAGCGTCTCCTGATGTCAGAGTTATAACTAATTGTTTACAGTTTCTTCTTGTTAGGAGGAAACATTTATTAGTTGTTTCTCGAGGAATATTCACTTGTAAATAACAACAATAACTCACGATCGCGATTTTTACCACTCGTATAAGTTGTAGCAATCGGAATCATGATACAAACTCACGACTTGAACAAGCAGTGAGTATTGCACACCCTCAAACAAGATGACATTTACCAGTCACAAACTTTAAGGGTGGAAACAAGTAGGTACGACAATATACCTCGTGACGAAAATTTATGTAGTCACTGCAACTGTAACAAAACTGAAGATCAAACTCATTTGTTATTAAATTGCTTAAGCTACTCGTCGACAAGAAACACGATCTTTAATTTCTAAAACAGTTTCTTAAGCCCCATTTCTATGACTACTATCAAATAAGACCTTGTAATCAAATCCAATGAATTCCCCTTATGCATGTTTACGTCAGACGAATAAATTTTAAGCATCAAGCCACGTTTTGCCGACAATAAACGTTAAGAAGTCTTCCATATATGAATTCCAAAACAGTACGTACGACTGCAGAATTCTGTTCACAAAAGAGGTTTGGTGGTGAAAACTGCAATTCTGACATAAAGATGCATCAGAGCCATTCTACTGACTTATTTTATAAACATTCAATTAATTTCTTTCATCTCATCATGCTTTGAACTGAGAGACAAACTGGGCTTCGAAATAACTACTCTTATAATGGTTAAAAATAAGTGATGATTGAATTTTTTCTCTTTTCTTGTTTTAAAATTATTTTAATTAATTAAATAACTAAGAATTAAACTGTTACAGTCATGTAAATAAAGCTTGTTGTTGTTATTCTAGACTGGAGATGGCTTGTCGTCTGTAGACGGTGAGGGTGGGGTAAGGGGTGTCACTTGGATGGGTGGTAGGCATGTCCCGATTGCACTGGAAAATTAGCGAAAAAGTGCTCAAAACATGGTCAAAAAATGCTCAGATAGTGCTCGAATTTTTGAAAAAAGTGCTTGAAACTTAGAAATAGTGCTCGAAAGTTGCTCGAAGTTTTTAATTATTTCCTAGCAGATGTTCGTAAAATATTCTTAGTTTTATCAAAGATTTCACCCTCGATTTTCTAATAGGTGACCATAGAAGTGAAACACCAATGTTTTTTGAACAAAAACTCTTTATTGAGATATAAACCCAAGATCGACTCAGTCAAGCTCTTCAATCGTTAAGTCAGCATAGTTTCTAAAGCACTCCCACAGCAAGCTCACAGCAGCATAGAACCATATGGACTTCAGCGGCTTACTGAAAACGTTTCGAAGACAAAATGTTGCATTAAACATTGTGGAAAATTGTAAAAAAAAGTGCTTAAATGTTGCCCAAAAATGGGAAAAAATGCTCCAAATTCTGCTCAAAAGCCAAGAAAGTACTCAAGAGTGCTGGAAATGTGAAATAGTGCTCCGAACTCGAAAAAGTGCCCAGTGCAACCGGGTTTGGATCCTTCGAAGAGAAATGTCCTTTCTTTTGTCTGACCTTCTTAGCCCCAACGCCTCCACGAGCGGCAAGTCCTTCGGGGTCGAGATCAGTCATCACATATCACTTTTGATCTCGCGTAACAAAAAAAGTTATATTTATGTCTTAATTTCTTGTACATGCCTCCTTGCCGGGTCTTCCAATTCCTTTTAACAGCCTCTAACGTTTTCAACCGAAACCGCGTCATCCTTGTAAAAAATCCCGAAATTACTCAAGCGTCTGTCGAGAGTTCAGATCTCAAAGTCGATTCCTTACAAGAAAGTAACAGAAACAAGACGCTATCGGAGCGTACACTTGGGTGTCATTGTATCACGCGTATGTGAGGATTTTCTGGTGTGTCAGGCACGTGTAAGTGCCGTAGTGTTGTTTATTGGTAAGGATTGGTTGAGGAGAAAGGAGACGTGGATTCATAGTGGACGTTGTTTGGTATGTGAATAGCTCGAATTTTCCTTCGGAATTCTAACACAAAGTGGTGGAGCGAATAGCAAAAGTGACGACTACTAAGAAATGTTGTGGACCGGCATCATCTCCATTTCGAGTGGCAAGCGAAGGCGCAAGTGGGAGACGAAGCCGTGTGGGGTGGAGGAAGAGAAGAGCTCTCCTTTCCTCTTCCCGCACCTTGCTCTTGCGTGCCACTCGCGCATGACTACCCTCACGATTGATATATTTTATTGTCATCATTTCACGCGAATTTTTAAGCTGCATTTTAAATTTGGCGTTTTTCAAAATTCCTGCGGTAGAAATGTCTAGGAACGAAAAAGGATCGGAGTTTACTAGCTGAAATCTTTGCTTGGGAAGTCCATGACTATAGGTATGTAACAAATGTTGAAAACAGCAACAAGGTGACGGGAGGTAACCGTATCTGTGAAAGTTGTAACTTTGCCTGTGACTCCTGAACCAATCTTAAGTGCTATAAGGCACTAAGGCCCAGTTCAAACGTCGAACGTTTCATGTACCGAACCTAATCCCTTCAATTGGGTATTAGTTATACAATATATGTCTAAGTTCAGTCGACCCCTAAATTAAGATTGAGTGGCCCACATCAGTGCTGTCAACTCTCTCGTATAATCCGGGAGACTGTAGATTCTTGACCGTATCTCCCGGTTTCCAGATTAGAGTCTGAAATCTCCCGGATAATCGCCGGAGTTTGCCATTTCTTCAGTAGGCTCGACTTTTCGACAATGAAATTTCAAATATTTTGCGTTATTTGAGCTAATTTTTGTTAACATCAAACTTTTCCTCATAAACGCCGATATGCCATTGTAATATAAACGGTAATGTGATTTGTGGGAAAAAAATAATCGACTCAAATGTAACAATGCCAACAACATCTTTTTCGCGCGTTTTGTGTCATCGAAAATATTCGTGACGATCGGAGTGAACGAGTGTTTTTTGCACATATTAACGTCATGTGCCATGCGTTTTGACGTCATCTATCATCCCTTCCCTATCAATTTTCAACATTTGGGGGTTGACAGCCCTGCCACATAGGAATTTTGACTGGGGAACGACTTCGTTTCAAACGTCTAACTTCTCACGTGCCGAACCTAATGCATAAATTACTAAAATTTATTTTCACTGGTAATCATTGTAGACCATTGAACATAGTGAAAATGAATGGAGTCCAACCAATTAAGTTCGACGTCTGAATCAACCGTGGAACTTGTATCATTTGGGTCGAGCTAAATAGGCATTAAGTTCAGTAAATGGAAAGATCGACGTTTGAACTGGGCCTTATAGCACCTAACAAACGGTGACAAAAAGTGCACGTCCCGATTAGAAGGTCGCTGCACAACGTGACTGCCCTGAAGAACGATCTTGTTTTGCAAGCACCAGGGTTTTGGTACAGACTATTTATTGCCAGTAAGCTCATGTCCTCTCAGATGAATATTTTTCATTTTTGCCCTATACTGATCGGGTGTGCCACTGTATATATATATATTCTTGGCTTGCAACCACGTGACAAGGCGGCCATGCTGGTGGTGTGTTGGTGGTCAATACAATATAATTTTTTCTCGAAGAATTTACATGAAAATATGGTTTAGTTTCCAGAGGAAAGAAATGCTTTTGTTCTTAACCCTAACACACCACCAACATGGCCGCCCTGACGTCACGTGTAAACCAGCAATAGATAAAAATCAAGAGATCATAATAGGACAAATCTTGTGGTTCGGTTTAATTTTTATCCTTTTATTTTCCTTTGTTTCAAACTCATTATCATAAATTACCATTCCCCAAAATAAAGGAAAATAAAACTTAAGCCAAACCACAACATGTACATACATACATACACCAGGCGCGGATCCAGGATAAATACTGACCGATTTCACAAACGAGCGCCTAAGGCGCAAGCCTGTAGGGGTGTCTCGGGGTATGCTTCCCCCGGGAATGTTTTTGGATTTTAACACCCTAAAGTTCCCTTTCCTGGGATTCTGAGTCATTCAGACAGGATATTGGCCAGCTCCATTCTCCTCGAATGAAGCCTTGCAAGTCGGCGGATCTAATTTTCACGGTCAATTTCTACGTTGTAGTGGTTATGGAGCAGGTTGAGTCCAAACCGTTTTCCAGATTTCAACTTAGAAAGTGTTTTTATAGGAAAAATATAATTATATTTATTGTGGAAAATCTGACCGATTTCCGTAAAAATTGGCGGCAAAGGGGTTGTACGTATCACGCATCACGCTAATTTTTTTTTTAGGCCATCACTCATCACAGGGAAAAAAAATTAGCTATCACGAACGTCTGCGTGGAAGGCTATTTTTTAGTTAACATGGTAATATCTCAACTAATTGATATATTGTATAAAAGGGTATCTGGCGGTTATTGATATGTGTTTTTAATGTCTGCTTTTAGTTTCAAATAATATTCACCATGCAATCACAGAAATCTAAAAGAAAAATCACGCTTCACGCCTTATGAAAATAGTAAATCACGCAACACTCTACTATGCCCAATCTTGGGCCCGATCACACATAACTTCACGCTGATAATTTGGGAGCCATCACAGGTCACGGAAAACCCCTTTGCCACCCTATGTGTCGTACAGGGGGGTGCCAGGCACGGTTCAAGGACCACAAAAATGACTAATCACGAATCACGGATATCAAAATTTCATTTTCACGAATCACAATAATCAGTATGTGAACCACTCCTTGATCTTGTTTTTGCGCAAAGAAAAAAGTTGCAAAGAGGTGTCTGAAAACACAGTAAAGGGGCGACAAGGAAAAGAAAGATCTACAATTGTAAATTACAGACTTTCATCACTTTTGAAGATAACTCAAACTATTCGTTCACCACATGTAGTGACGGCTCGAAGAAACATTAAATTGTCATCGTCACTATCTGTCGTAGGATCTTTAGAATCTGAATCTGTGTCACACTCTTCCTCATCCTCTTCTCAAACTCATTAATAATTCATTAAGAAAATACAAAGGAAATTAATGTTTAATGAGTGTTTGGAAATCGGATGAAACACTGCTTAGTATTTGCATCCTTAATTTCTCCTTCAAAAATGATTTTGTTTGAGAAGAAATATCAAACATTCGACACAGTGTTTCATCACC